ATTTCATCCAAACTTCACAGGAATGTTCCTTTGGTGGTCACCTTTAAAAATTGTTCAAAGAATTTAATTCCATACAGAAATCTGGTTGCCATAGCAACCAAAAGAAAATACTTTAAATATCTTCTTTTAAAAAACCAAAAGAGCTAGAGCTTAGATATTTGGCATGAAACATCTTCTAGTGAGTGTCTACCAAGTTTGTTCAAATAAAAGCCCTGGGGTCAAAATTGGCCCCGCCCAGGGGGTCATTGATTTTCCCTATATGCATATAGTAAAATTTTTAAAAAACCTTCTATTAAAGAACCCAAAGAGCTAGAGCTAAGATATTTAGCATGAAACATCTTCTAATGAGTGTCTACCAAGTTTGTTCAAATAAAATCCCTGGGGTCAAAATTGGCCCCGCCCCAGGGGGTCATTGATTTTCCCTATATGCATATAGTAAAAACTTAAAAAGTCTTCTTTTAAAGAACTCAAAGAGCTAGAGCTAAGATATTTAGCATGAAACATGTTCTAATGGATGTCTACCAAGTTTGTTCAAATAAAAGCCCCGGGGTCAAAATTGGCCCCGCCCCAGGGGGTCATTGATTTTCCTTATATGTGTATAGCAAAAACTTAAATCTTCTTTGAAAAAAAAACAAATAGCTAGAGTTTTGATTTTAAGCATGGAACATCTTCTAGTAAGTGTCTACAAAGTTTGTTCAAATAAAAGCCCTGGGGTCAAAACTTGCCCCGCCCCAGGGGTGTCATTGTTTTTAACTATATGTGTATAGTAAAAACTTAAAAAATCTCTTTTAAAAAACCCATTGAGCTAGAGCTATGATGTTTAGCATGAAACATCTTCTTATGGGTGTCTACCAAGTTTGTTCAAATAAAAGCCCTTGGGTTAAAATTGGCCCTAAGTTTTGGAGGGGGTGTCATTGTTTTTCATTATGTGTGTGTAGTAAAAACTTAACATCATGAAATATCTTCTAATGGATGTCTTCCAAGTTTGTTCAAATAAAAGCCTTGGTGTTTAAACTGGCCCTGCTACGAGGGCCTATATACAGGTGAGCGACCTCAGGGCTATCATGGCCCTCTTGTTTATATATCGGACCCTTTTTATATATCGTAACAATAACTCCCTTAGACCATGCTTCAGGATATAAACAGTTATTATATATATATAGTTAAAGATTGTACATAAATAGGGAGATATAACATTGTTTGCATCAATAAAAAATCGGCTACATTATTGTCATAGTCACAACTTTTATATCTTTTCAAAGAAGATATTGTTTTTTGGACCTCTTCCACAGAAATGTCTCTATCAAGATAATCAATATTTACAGTTTCGTGACTCTCTTGTGAAAATTCATCACTTTCCGACTAGATTTGACTATCATTAGACATATTTTTAAAATAATTTTTAAACTCCTTAAGACTAGCATTAGATTCAAATCCACCTGTATTTCTAATTTTTTTAATATAGTTCCAAAATTTACGAGGAGTCTTTCTAAATTACTAATGTCACAGGGTGAGGAAAATGTGCAGCCTGACCGGGACTCGAACCCGGGACCCTCGGAATACCGTACCGCGGCTCTACCGACTGAGCTATCCGGCCGCTTACACATCTTCTCCCCTATATAGTGAACAGTTCTGAACCGTGACATACTCCCCTGCTATATTGAAATTCGTCCTCGAATTTCACAGAGTTACAGAGCAATGTGAATTTAACTCTGCGCTGTATTCAGTCACGGTCCCCCGTTGGGCGCCAAATGTCACAGGGTGAGAAAAATGTGCAGCCTGACCGGGACTCGAACCCGGGACCCTCGGAATACCGTACTGCGACTCTACCGACTGAGCTATCCGGCCGCTTACACATCTTCTCCCCTATATAGTGAACAGTTCTGAACCGTGACACTAATATCAGACATTTTTATTTTTTCTCTATGTAAATACTTGCTTTAATGTATTTTTTTCTACAAGTAAGCAAAACTTTTTTTTCTTCGGATTTAAACCTAGCCTGAAGTCTCTTCGCATCACAAAATAACTTTTTTCATGTCTACAATCATCATTGAATCATAGCGATTTCCGCTTCTTTTGTTTTGGACGATTATTATACGTCTTACCGTTACATGAATATGAAATATCATGTGTCAATAACTGTGTCAGAAAAACATGTCACACATTGATTGATATCATGTACATCATTTAACAATTTCTGGTTGATATCGTTAAACACGGAACACCTATTTTGTAATATATTTAAAAAAAATCCCCATTTTCGGACGAATTCCATAAAATTTTATCAAATTCTAAGTTATTAATCTAATCACATATGACAGAGATGTTGATAATAAAAATATTTGTGAAGTCTGCATTAAATTCCTGAAGAAATAAAAAAGTTAAAGGAAAAAATAAAACACAAAAATTCTAAGTTTTAATGGGAAGAAAATTCGGAAAATTGACACTAGAGTTACGAACCTTTCATTTTATTATGTGGGAGCTGATATAAACTTAAATTTTAAGTTTAAAATAAAAATGAAGAAGTTAGAGCGAAAAGCATTTTTTATATAAAAAAAATCCAAGTTCAATGGGGGTACTTATGGAAATATTTATGCTAGAGTTATGGATCTTACATGTATCACCCACGATAAGGGTGATAAAAAGAAACAAATATTTGAAGTCTGAAATAGATGCCTTAAGAAATGATGAAATTTTTGTAAAAATTTACACTTTTTAACATAAATTCTAAGTTCAAGGGGAGTATTTCTAAAAAAAAGGGGGCTAGAGTTCTTAATCTTATCACACATTATGTGGGTAATGATAAGGAATATATTTAATGTTTGAAGGAAAAAACTATAGTAAAAAAATAACATTTTTAAGAAAAAGTTCATGCGGAAATAATTCTTACAATATTGGCGCTAGAGTTAAAAGAACCTTGTTACATAAAATGTGGTTGATTATAAGGAACACATATTTCAAGTTTTAACTTATAAAGAAGTAGGAGTAAAAGTAACATTTTTAAAGGAAAATTCTAAGTTCAAGGGGAGATAATTCTGAAATATTGCCTTAAGAGTTATGAACCTTCTCACATGAAATGTGGTTAATGATTAGGAGTTTAGAATTGATGCCTTAAGAAATATTTTACAGCACCAAAACTTTAATCTGAATGAGGATGCAGACGTCAGTGTGAGTAGGACAGCTTTCCATATACTTCGTATAGTCAAGCTAATAATGATGATCACCATCAGCTATAATTTTGACCACATTTTCAATCTTAAATATCTCCAATATTTATTACCTGCTATAGCTATGCGATTGTCTCAACACATGTATTTGTAATTTAAAGTGGCATGTCTCCAGATTCATGCTTATTTTCATGATTTCTTTTAAATGTTTCAAAAGTAAAATATTTTCCAAGTGTCCAAAGAAAGTAATTTACACACTGCAAATGGTACTTAAAATCTGCGAACATTACCAAAAACAGAATACTAGTATGTAAAATAAGCCCTTATTACATTAGTCACGCTGTATAAATTTAGTGATAAGTACTGCAAAATCAGTCTTGAATTGCATATATTAAAATGTCAGACAATACCATCACAATATGTGTCACAAATGTTTGATAAAATGAAGGCAAATATAGGTATCATCCAATGTCAAACTGATTTGAGATTAATTACTATATCAAAATGTCCTCTCTACTTACTTTGCTAAAGGTATATGTTCTGTTAAGCTTGTTTGTGTTGGGCTCAACAAAGTCGACATTTTTTTCGTATTTTTCACAAATACAGTTGGAAAGGTCTTATTTTTCATCTGTATAAATCAACACTTGCCAAAGCAGTCAGATTGAAAACATCTCAAATTAGCATTTTGTTCCAACTGCCACCTTAGTAGACAAAATTTAATATCTCTATTTGAGTCACTCTACATCACTCTATAACAAACTACCCTCCAACAAAAGACTGGTGAAATCAGGTCGTGTGTTAACTGTGTTTACATTTTTTCCTTTAGAAAACTGCTGAACTGCAAGTTTTGTATGTTTTTGCGATTGCGAAATAACCCTAGTTACCACATGATAAGTCATAAATCTCAAAATGAAGGGAACCATATCAAAGTTTCCAAAGTAGCCAGGGAAGAAGCCTTTAGGTCCCGTGCTCTACCTACTGAGCTAACTTTGCTGGTCTCGTGCTCTACCTCCTGAGCTACCTTTACTGGCCTCGTGTTCTACTTACTGAGCTAACTTTCCTGGCCTCGTGTTCCACCTATTAAGCTAACTTTGCTGGCTTCGTCCTTTACCTACTGAGCTAACATTACTGGCCTCGTGCTGCTCTACCTACTGAGCTAACTTTACTGGCCTCGTGCTCTACCTGCTGAGCTAACTTTGCTTGCCTCGTCTATCTCCTGAGCTACCTTTACTGGCCTCGTGTTCTACTTACTGAGCTAACTTTATTGGCTTCGTGTTCTACCTACTGAGCTAACTTTACCGGCTTCGTGCTCTACCTACTGAGCTACCTTTACTGGCCTCGTGTTCTACTTACTGAGCTAACTTTACTGACCTCATGCTATTAACCTACTGAGCTAACTTTACTGGCTCTCGTGCTCTACCTACTGAGCTTACTGTAATAGCCTCGTGCTCTACCTACTGAGCTAACTTTACTGGTCTCGTGCTCTTCCTACTGAGCTAACTTTACTGGCCTTGTGCTCTACCTACTGAGCTCACTTTACTGGCCTCATGCCCTACCAACTAACTTTACGGGCCTCATGCATTACCTACTGAGCTAACTTTACTAGCCTCATTCTCTACCTACTGAGCAAACCAAGGATGAAGAATTAACTGTTATGTACGTTACATACCGTATCACCATACTTAAGAAAGGGAGGAAAAACAGAAGTGCTGAAACTTAAATAAATCAAATTTTGTTAATTAATTTTAATACCAATGTCGTTACCTTACCAACGAACAATATTTTTCAAATTGATGTGTCATAGTAAAGAGATAAAGTGGCAAACCCATTTACATTCCTCGTTATCTGAGATAAGGCTTAGTGCTTGTCACACAACTAAATCGAGATCTTTTCGAAATGGCATGTTTGCAGTTTCTTCTATTTTGGAGTATTACAATCAACTTCTTGTGCGTCTATGGAAATGATGATGCCGTTGGTAGACTTACTCTCAATAACGTTCTTACAACTTTCAAGGAGATGCAAGCAAAACTGGATAAATTAGAAACATCGGAAAGAGATTTAAAGCAGACTGTTAGTATTCTTGTCGGTAAAACAGAGCAATTACGTGTACATGTAGACCGCCTAGAAACATCGGAGGCTAAATTAAAACAGACTGTTAAAACTCTCTCTAAAACAACAGCAAAGTTACAGCAACACATCGCAAAGTTAACGAAAACTGAAGCAGTGTCCGAGCATCCAAAAAAAGAGGATACATTGAAGAAACAACCCGAAGAGTTCCCGGCAAACACAAGCAATTCAGTTGAGGAAACGACGAGGACATTTTCAAAAAAGAGACAAATTCTCAACGATTGCAGGAAAAGAGGTAAATATGTTAAGAGTAAATTAATCTATAAAAAATCATCATGTTGTCATAATATGAAATAGAAAAAGACGACTTATTCATCTTTTGTCTGATTTACCATAAATATAATTATATGACAGCTATGTGTTTCGTGAGAATTCATGTATGCATATAAATAGATAAATTTCATTATTTATTTTTTTTTCAGATAACCGTCAAACGTCAGAACAAGTTGCATTTTCTGCTTATCTTGATCACGTGATAAGGAATTTAGGCCTGGACCAAATCATTGTTTATAATCGTTTGCTGCTCAATGAAGCCGGGGCATACAGTATATATACAGGTATCCTTTTGTCAATATTTTGTGTTGGCGTAGCATATTGCAATTTTGCTGATAATTACTTGACCCAATGTTCAATATCATAATACGATGGATGTTCGAAATGTATTGCTTATTTCTATCTGGACACTTCAAATTTCAAGTTAGCTCAAAAGTGTTCATTTTATGCCCTCGAAGTACTCCCCGCGGCCAGAAATGCAAAGTTTCAGCCGATGTAGGCGTCACGGTACGCTGATTTGGGCACAGTAATAAGGAACTGATGAATGGCAGACTCAAGTGCCTGTCGGGACTTGTATTTCCGCCCAGCAAGGAAGGATTTCAATTTCAAAAACAAAACGAAATCACATGGGGCAAGGTCTTGAGAATACGGGGGTGGGGGGTAAGGCAAAACAGTTACTTTTTCTTTTTGCAAAAACGCCGAAACTATTGCGGAGGTATGAGAGGGGGGCATTGTCATGTAGAAGACGGATATGCTTAAAACCATTGACAGGGCGTCGTTTCTTATAATACTTTTTCAGTTTCTTAAGTACTACGTCTTTGTAGTACTTCCCAGTGATACTTTTGCCCTTGTTCACCGGCACTTTTATTGCGACTCCTTCACCAGAGAAGAAAATTGCATACAAAACCTTCTTTGCACTCAAAGACCGTTTGGCAATTATTGGGCGTTTGTTGTGTTTTGTTGCTTACTTTTCTGACGGGCTCAAAATAATGGACCCAAATTTAATCACCTGTGATGACATTGGCAAACTGTTTTTTGTAGAAAATTATGATATCTAAGTTAGTTTTACACTTTCTAAAACAAATGAATTAGTAAGTGCGTAGTTAACAAAATAATCAATTTTGTTGTAGCCTATCAGTTTGTGAATACTAACATGTGCGAAATTGTTTATCTGACAACAAATATTTCAGGAGTATTTCGTGTACCAGTTTCCGGGTTCTACCTATTTTCGTGGTCAGTCACGGCTAGGAAATTACAAGGAGAACAGGGCTATGATATTTGGGTCAAATTGGTTGTAAATGGCCAATATCAGGTGAATTTATGCATATTTTGTGGTATGCGTGTTCTTATATTTACATTTAATAGATATAACACACCCCCACTGTTGTTTGCGACAGGTCTATAGTTTTCAGATATACATGTTTAAACAAACGAAAACCCGTCATGAGGTCTTTCTGTTGCACATGCAAAGGTCTTGTCATGCAAAACACTTTAGAAGATAGACCTCCATCCGTGCATAACTAAAATAACATTAAAATTAATCAGGAGTTAAAAATGAAAAAAATGTAAATGGTTGTCGTAAAGAAAACAAATTTTAAACAAGAAAATGTTAATTTAATGCACTAAGCAATTATACCAACGTCCATTTAATAATTATTTCTATAAAGATAATAGGTAGCATATCAAATTAAAAAAAAAATTGTCCGGACTACTTATCTTATACCAATAATAAAATTTAATCAAACTATACATGATTGATTTGTAGCTCAAATACATCCGCATATTACATGGGTTTTCCGGTTGAATGATTTTGGACTGAGTTTATAGCCCTTAAATATAAACTGCATTTTGCCTGTGTGGTCACTGATCGCACTTGTCTCTTTATAAACCTATAATCCACGTATGTTTGACAAAGCTATGGTTAAATATGGTGAAGCAAAATTGATTTTTATCCCCCGCCGAAAGGCCGCGGGAGATATAGAAATAGTCTCCGTCCGTCCTTCCATCCGTCCTTCCGTCCGTCCGAGCAAACATTTTCGGTTTAGGGGCTATATAACAGTAAAGAGAACACAAGAGAACAATAGGTTCATTCCGTGATCAAAGGGTTTAGGGGCTAGTAGTCCTTAAGAAAACAAAGAAAAAAAAAACAAAGAAAATAGCCCCTAAAGCCAAAATGTTGGAACGTCCGTCCGTCCGTCCGTCCCGTCCGTCCGTCCGTCCGACATTTTTGTCCGGAGCATATCTCAAAAAGTATTTGAGGTATCAACTTGAAACTTCATAGGTGGATAGATCATATTGAGGAGGAGTGCAGTGCACAAGAATGATAACTCTACCCTGCATAATTTTTCAGTTATTGCCCTTTGTTATTTTTCAAACTTAATTTTTGTCCAGAGCATAACTCAAAAAGCCTTTGAGATATCAACATGAAACTTCATAGGTGGATAGATCTCACTCAGGAGGTGTGCAGTGCACAAGAATGATAACTCTACCCTTCATAATTTTTTAGTTATTGCCCTTTGTTATTTTTCATACTTAATTTTTCACCTGAGTGGAGCATAACTCAAAAAGTCTTTGAGATGTCAACATGAAACTTCATAGGTTGATATATCTTATTGGGGAGGAATGTTGTGCACAAGAAAGATAACTCTTCCCATTATAATTTTTGAGTTATTGCCCTTTGTTATTTTTCATACTTTTTGTCCGGAGCATATCTCAAAAAGAATTTGAGGTATCAACTTGAAACTTCATAGGTGGATAGATCATATTAAGGAGGAGTGCAGTGCACAAAAATAATAACTCTACCCTGCATAATATTTCAGTTATTGCCCTTTGTTATTTTTCAAACTTAATTTTTGTCCAGAGTATAACTCAAAAAGCTTATGAGATATCAACATGAAACTTCATAGGTGGGTAGATCTCACTCAAGAGGTGTGCAATGCACAAGAATGATAACTCTATCCTTCATAATTTTTGAGTTATTGCCCTTTGTTATTTTTCATACTTATTTTTTCATACGAGTGGAGCATGACTCAAAGAGTCTTTGAGATGTCAACATGAAACTTCATAGGTGGATAGATCTTATTGAGGAGGAATGCTGTGCACAAGAATGATAACTTTTCCCTGCATAATTTTTCAGTTATTGCCCTTTGTTATTTTTCATGCTTAATTTTTGTCCAGAGCATAACTATAGAAGCCTTTGAGATATCAACTTGAAACTTCATAGGTGGATAGATCGCATTGAGGAGGAGTGCAGCTTATAAGAATGATAACTTACCTTGCATTATTTTTCAGTTATTGCCCTTTATTATTTTCTTTTCTGCCATCAGTATTCACATAGGTTTCAAATCTGTAATCACTTCAGCCATCAGTTTTCATTACCAAAAGACCTCTTTAAATTGAATTATTCTGCTCTACTACATATATATTTTTCCAATGAGCAAAAACATTCGGCGAGGGATGGCCATGTTGACATGGCTCTTGTTTCAACAGTTTTGAAATATATTTGAATAGTTTTAGTTATTACGTTTGAAACGTTTAAAATTTTATCACCATAAATTAAAATTTGTTTGCTTATTTGTATATTATTTATCTATTTTCTTCCATTGCTATTTATTCAGTAGTATTCTTTTATTCAAGAATTATCGACACCCCTGTTTGTTAAAATTGATGTTAACAGTTAAGGAAAGGAATACCAAATTTAACCTATACAACATTTTAGATTACATAATCCATAACATACTAAACGGTCTCGAAAATGTTTAGTACATAAAAGTTGTATAATAATTTCTTATTGGCAATTTAATTAAAGCTGTTCCATCATAATTGTGTCTTTCCCTTATAAGTATGATTTTTCAAAATGTTTAAATTTTGTTGTGTTATTTTTTAGATATAAAATGTCTAAAAGAATTGGGAAACTTTTGTTAAATGATTCCTGTTTTGATTAAAATTTGCACCTTGAAGTTATCTTTGTTTGGATCTAGAGATTATTACTGCCTTGATGTATATATATAATGAAATACTTAAGTATTTTCTACATTTCACGATTCCCCCCTGATAATAGAAATACTATTACATTTTATGAAACTACAGTTGTTGGATCTTTTATTATCATTGATAGGATTAAAGGCGGGTAGATAATGTCTTGAAATTATTTACAATTCAATGTGTAGTCTGTCTTATGTCAACAGTAATATTTCATAATTCTAGAAAAGAGTATATACCATCTGGGTTTTCTATTGTTGTAAAAGGATAGATGCTCCTCACAATGTACAGAATACCTGAATGCATGGCAGTAAAGAACTGGTAACCCGTAAAACATAATTTATATTGCATGACCAATTAAAGTTCATTATGATAATAAACCACTTGACTGAATGGTGAAGGCAATATCAAATCTATAAGAATTATTGTAAAGTCCAGTAAAGTCCAGTATATTAAGATCTGGTGTATTCTCTATTGACATTAAGTTTTGTTATTGGCCTGCAAAGTTGATGCAAGTACAATTAATATTGATCATGTGGTTGCGTAGATAAAGATTGGTAGTGTTGTCAGCTTCTACCTTGATTTCATGGACCCTAAAGTCATGAGAATAGTATCAGCTGAAATCGATGTTCCCGAAGGACCAGAAAAATACATTGCAACATGTAAATTATTTAACTATCTTATACTAAGAACAGATTTAACAGAATAAAAAACATTTTTCCGAAGCCCTCCGTGACTTGCTCATTATTCGATCTCATAGAATATTAACCGGTGCTATATCTTCCGATTTTAATTACAATTATTTAGTTTCCATATTATTGCATATAAGACAAGATTTTTTAGTGATTGCTAATGAAACATGGCCACCATATTTTTTTCTACCTCTTTATAAACTCTATTTATTTTCGTAAAAAGCACTACATGTATTTTCCGCAGTTCTTCTTTTTTTCATTGAAAATAAGTCTATGCAAGTCTGCATTTTGCGGCAATAAAATACTCATGACCGGCAGATAGTTACGCGGAATTGGCGTTTGTCCGCGAGATTTTGTTGTTTCTTTATATAAATTCTACACAATTTCGTAAATAGCTAGGCAGCTAGACCACTGTATTAATTAATGATCCCGACAAAGAATTCGGAACATATCCCAACTCTAAGAATCCGGGCAATATTTTGCATTTACTCAGCTGTAGAGTACAAACGTTTATCTGTAACTAATCTTTCTTTATTTCTGCATGTTTGCACAAACTTTTACTTCACTTTTACAGTATTTGCCATTATTTTCAATGGAATTAAAATTCCACTTTGGTAAAACGTAAGAATGTTCTGTCAGGGGGAGGGATAAATTAAACTGATGTTCTCACCATGATAAAACAAAACTGATAATATCTTTCGTCAGCAAATTTACATTCAGACAATCCCATTGCTCTGATTAATATTGACCCATAACCTTATCTATAAATGTCAGCAAATAAGGTCAGAAAGTAATTGTTGTACGAATTGTGAACTATGTTACTTTTATTGTACTTAAATCATGTAATTTTTGTTTGTTTGGCTATTACAACAATTACAGACGCTGCTGCCAGCGGAGATGACATTTTTAATTCAGTCGAACGTGACAACCCTGATACACTTAAAATGGTCTTAAAGCAGATGGAAGTAATGCAGGCAAAAATCACGAAGTTAGAAGAATCGGAGGCGAGTTTGAAGCTCTCACTAAGCGCTCTTATGGGAACTCAAAAGCTATGTATGTCACAAATCGACGCACTTACATACCAAATCAACACCCTTAAACCCAAAATAATGGAAATAGGAAATAAATCAAAACCGCTAAAGAAGACAACGGAACAGATGGACATTACAGATGGAGAACAGGTTACAGAAAAACTGGAATCTGAACAAAACATGCATCATACGGAATATGGAATTAAAAACAGTAGCGGAACAAAACGTGAAAAGGGTAGGCAGATTTTTTAAATTTAAAGATAAATTAATGTTGTAGGGTCGGGAAGGGTTTTTTTTGCACACAAGATTGTAAGCAAACATTTGAGTGCAACACACGTCGCGGGTTAATTCCCTTTTTAATGTCCGCATATCCAAGTGCACTAATTAAATTAATTAGTTTTGGTATTTAGGAAAGAAACAAGTATTTGAATAAAACATAAATAGCAGAGTGTTGATACGAAATTACTCTTTTATTTCATATCTTCCTTAAATAAGAGATCCGCCAGACCAGCGAGAGTGTTTTTTTCTCCGCCTATCTGGATCACGTGATGAGTAATTTAGGACAAGATCAACCTGTTGTCTATAACATGATACTACAGAACGAAGGCGGGTCATACAGCGGATCATCTGGTACTAACCGACTCTTGAAATTTTGTAAAATCAAGTTCTATCTAGTATCTTACCATTCATCTATTATATCATCTTAATTGTTCAATATAATGCATAATTTTCTTTTTTTAAAGATAACTAATTTTTCAGCACATTTCATTGAAATTAATAACGATATTATTTGAACGCACATTTGACTTTTCCCTCTTTTTTTTCGATAAATAGTCAATTACCGTCACACGTTTATTATCTCATATTGAATATTTCAGGAATATTTCACGTTCCAATATCCGGTGTTTTTTTGTTTTCCTGGTCGACGTCTGCACGTGTGTTACCAGGGGGACAGACGTATGACGTATGGGTAAAACTGGTTGTTAACGGAGTACACCAGGTAGCGTTTGTTTGGGCAGAATGATATTAAATAAAATGATCAGTCTTACAAGCTTTGACAAATTATATCGATAAGAATTAGATGCATGTTTAAAGATTTATAATTTCTTTACATATCACGCCTTGCGGACAGATATTGCTTGCGATTCGTGATTTCTATACACGTGTTTCTATTCAATAAGCTCGCCTCTAGATGACATATTTGACTGTTTATACTGTCCCTATTTTTTATAAAAAAATTTATAATGTTTTGCATATAAATAATAACTCGATAGAGCCTCGACTAACGACGAAAATTATTCTGATCTAAATTACAGATTGGTGCTGCAGCCGAGAGTCAGGTAGTGAAAGATGACAACCAGGGCAGTAGTACAATTATCTTACGTCTTAAAAAAGGTGACGAAGTCTGGACGGCATCACAAAATGCCGGTTCCAGTTTATTCGGATCGGATAATGAAAGGACGACGTCATTCACTGGTGTATTGTTGTATCCAAGCTAGATTGTTATATTTTTTCCACTGTTCGAGGAAAGCAAAAGCACTAGCAATATTACAAATGTTAGTTGAGTTGTTCTATACCTGTGACGTTTACCGCCAAAACGTACGCAAATATCATACCAAACATTTCAATCAATAGGATGTATATCATTCAAAGTTTCTACAGAAATCTTCCATTGTCTTAATGTTTTATAAGCTAGAAGCGTAGCTTTCACAGCTCACATCAATGTCGCCTGTTTATTTTATTTTATAACATGCTTTTCAGTGGTTTATAGAAATATATCAGTGATATAAAACTGGTAATTTCACTGTTTGAAACAGTGAAATTACCACTTTGATAAGTTCACTGTTTTGAATTTAAGCCCCTTACGTTGTTTCAGTGAAATACCAGCGTGCACAGAATTGGGTACCAACTTAATGACGTGCCGTCGTAAATGACGTCACGCTGTTTTATTATTTGACGCGTTTTTTATTCAGTATTAGGTTTCATGTCTTTTTAAAACGTTTCTTTGCATATAATAAAAAGAAAATTTGTATATTTTAGTGTAAGATCGAAATATATTTCACCTTGTGAACACCAAAAGATCATATTTCACTCATGGCTGCGCCACTCGTGAAATATACCTTTTGGTGCTCACTCGGTGAAATATATTCCGATCTTACACTGAACTAAACAAATATCCTCTATATCATGTTCACGGTGCCTTTAACGTGTTTCTTTTTATGCTCCGTCACATCCTATATAGAAAACCAAGAAGTAGTTGTGCTATTTGTTATCGTATAAAAAGCTTATTAAGGATATTTATTCTGCGAATAGTGCTCCAAAAGTTGATCTGGAGCAGTCTTCGGAGTAACTGATGCTTTTTTTGTCGAATAGAGAACTGTAGAATGCGTTCTTCATTATAATACAAACACGTAACGACAACATTTAATATTTAGAAAAAAATAGTAAGATTTTCTGTTCTTATTGCAATAAATTGTTGTCCGTTTATCTGTCCATTTACCGTCTTTCTGTCCATCCATCCGTTTACCGTCTGTCTGTCTGTCTGTCTGTTTCTCTACCTGGCAGTATACGAGTATCCGTCTTCTGTCCGTACGTTTTTCTCTATCTTTCTTAACAAAAAAATGTAAGTTGTTTGTTCTTAGATATTCTTTGCTATGAGAGAATATGTCTACTTTGAGCTTCCTTCTAAGTCCGTCTGTTGTTAGTCCTGATTCAATTTTATTGAAATTCTTTGAAATCCTTAAAACATCGTAACTGCTTTGTTTCAATAAGTCAGAGGTGAAAATTATGTATGAGATCATTCAGAGATAGAAAACCCCCTGACTATTGGGGAAAATTTTTACACTCGATAGGATCCTTATATGATGTTACAGCGCTTAGCCTGGAGCAGAAACCAATAGATAATATTTTCTTTCATAATCTTGTTATCATATCATTTTTAATGCGATCAAGAGAAGAATCCGTTCAATCTCCTACAGGTAGTTTCATTTCAGAATTAATGCAAAATCGTTTTACGAACAAAAACCCCATAAAACATTCTCTATCTTGGTTACTCACAATAATCAGCGGGCTCTAAAACTTTATCCAATAAAAGATGATGAAATATTAAAAAGAAAATATTACCTGGACCATCTTTATTATTGTAATGCTCTAAACATTACTCGCATGTATATACAGGTCTGATTATATCATTATGAAGTAATAATAAGATGTTTAAGATGTAAAGAACAGAATACACATGATTTTACATTTTCAATAACAGGATTTGCGTATCTTAGTTACATTTATCATTTTAACATAAAGATGTTAACGTACAAAAAGGCCAGTGTTTATAAATTTGTAAATTTAGGAAATTGCACACAAAACTAATAATTTAAAGTACATATAAATCTTAAAATATGACCTTTGTCCCGAAAAAAGAAGTAGGTAGCCTAGTAAGTGACAGATATGATGCAAATTAAACATAATCCTATTAATCTGACCATGAATGCCATGGATAAGTAATTATATTGAAAATAAATTAATATTCGCATAAAGCAGTTTATATGAGTACATACTTAATTAATAAAAAACAACAGTAAAAATGATAAGTCAGTAATATCAAAACAAAAATATCGAAATATTAAACCAACTTCAGAAACATGTATCAGGCAATCTTCATTTTCATCACAATATAATGATTATGTTCATGTATAAAAGACGTATAATTTTCCAAGACAACAAAAATTTAAAAATCTATTTTGACTGAATCACTGGTGTTTTACACTTCTAAACAAATTCGTACAATATCATATCAAAACATTAATATAAACCTACCACACATTCAACCTTTCATATACTTTCATTAACTTTTCATTTACAGCTATCATTTTCAAAGTATTTTATTGACATGTAACTACGCCCTTGGAAGAATCCATTTTAAATGTAGCATGACCGGACTGATCTAGATTACACGTAACGCTCCCTCCTTTACTTGTTAAGATATACCAGAAATCAAACGATTCATTGGGCGCTCCCATGAGCGGTGCTGTAACTGTTGTATTAGTCCATGTTATATCTTGTATCCTCTGATGTGACACTGGTGCCCATTTATCCATCTCACCGATAATAACTGTCATAAACCTACAAACAAACCAATACAGAATTACATATAATATACGTAAAAATATATGTATTTGTTTGTTTGTGTGCTTGTTTGTTTGTTTGTTTGATTGGGCTTTACGTCACACCGATACAGTTAAGGTCATATGGCGACGTTCCAGCTTTACTTATGGAGGAAGACTGCAAGTGCCCTACCATGCATTACTTCAGGCACGAACGGGCACCTGAGTAGAACCACCGACGTCCCGTAAGCTAGCAGTATAGCTTCCTCACATGAAAGAATCCAAAGTCCCTGTGGAGATTCAAACCCGGTGAGAGACAAGTGGTTAACCTTAACCACTCGGCCACTATATGTAAATACAACGTATATGATATATACTGATTAACATAAGAATTCCAAAATGTTTTATATATAAATAGACGATCTTGAATGAGTGTATGTTCAATACTGAATTTATAAGAGGAGTTTAATAAAATTATATTATTAAAGCCTCTGTTTAGTAATTTGAAGCTACACGTCACGTCAAGTTACACGTCATATTAAAATATATGTATGGCCGTGCATTACCATATTTACGCAGTTGCAAAAACGGCACGGGTTGGTGATAAAAGCATTTGTGTAGAAACATTTATAATAGTTGAGTCTACTGACCAACAAGGTAATTATAGTAAAGGTACACTAACTCTGACAGCAACAGATTTTACCCATGTAACCAGTACAGACCATGATCAGCCCGCACATGCCTGACGCCACATTATGGACTACGGTGTTTGTTATCAGTCAGTACATATTTCAAAATATGCTTAAAATGCACATTATTCCTCAGATACGAAAAAATATTTCCTTTTAAAGAAAAGGCTAATATAAGATTGTAAATTTTATGTCCCAAAAATAGCAAATTGTAAACAAAGTAGTACTTTGACTTCCGTGCAAAGTACTAGTACATGTACTAAATCACTATAATTGTACTAATTGCCAAACGGCATCAGTAGCAAAAAAAAGGTGCGGGTAACTGGCCAATTAGTAACTTTCTGGAAACTATAACAGTACACCAAAAATAAAATGATACAATTCATATATCAAGCGCGGATGTGACCCATGCATCTTCATTTTTATCCAATATAAAAAGAAAAAAGTTTAAAATTTCAATGCGATATTATTATTATAGTTTGAAATCAATGTAACTGATTGATCTTACATTCCCGGGATTTTTTGCGATATCTGGTACAGAGCTATTCTTGTAGGGTTAAACTTGTCTGTAAATGTTAGACCACCTAAGTAAGTAAATTCAACCCAACTTCCGGGATCGTCGTACGGCACGGCATATAGTCCCGTATCCATAAGTGGCACCTGAAACCGGAAACGGAAGTTAATGAGAATAAGAGGTGTCTTACCATCCAGGTATTGCTTGAGAGATCTGGTATAAAGCCACTCTTGTGGGGTTAAACTTTTGCGTAAATGATAGACCGGCAATAGAACTAAATTTAACCCAGCCTACAGGCTCATCATATGGTGTAGCATACAAGTCAGGGTTGTCAAGCTGTAAGTAATGATAAGAAAATGATAAGTAAATCTATCTTAAAGTAAGTCTAATTTGCCAACAACCGAGAAGGACTTTCTTGATGAATATCTTATAAAAATCTACTTCTGTAAAGAACGTACAACTTAACTTGATCATGTATAACAATTATATCAATTATTTAAAAATATACGAACAAATGGTACCATAATTAGAAATAACTCGTGTAAAGTAAAACCATGTATATTCAAAACACGTTTACAAAATCCTGTGCAGGTACGATGAATATGTTCAATTCTCATCATAAATAAATGCATCAAAGTAAATTTTAATGGTAAAATAATCTGGTTTTAACTGGAAAGTATTATATTTTAGGAAACAATTTGTATGATTACTTACATGGTTATATATACCAGTATCTCTGGGATACATAGTATACTGTGAACGAAGATTCAGCACTAACAGATTGGAAAATCTAAGCCCTCCAATATCTGTGTATGATATCCATACTTCACCATCTGGTCCCTCAGTATCTGGCAAGGCCGCCTAGCGACATAAACGATAATAAATAATTCTGTTTTTCACTCATTTTCACCATAACCATATCACATACTACTTATAATATCACTATTTTTTTCATGTCAGATTATCGACTGGGTTTGAAATGACACTTTTTAGTCTTGTATTTAAGCTACGAACGCGGACAGGAGAACAACCACGGACTTTCTGTAAATTAAAAGTTTATATAAAGGTAACAACCTTATCAAAGTTATAAAATGACATTATTCTTTAAATTAAAATAGATAACTTGAGCCTATGGTGTGAGGTGATATACGTTTATATTAAGTCACAGCAGCACGTAACCAATATGGGCGACTTGCTTCAGAAGAGTATACATAAGTTTTATTATAAATGAACTGCTTGTAATACAAGTATATACCTTGATAATTTGACCATCTACAGCACGTATAGGATACTGGGGCTTCAGTATAACACCATCTGACCGACAACATCTAGAAATGTAAAATATCTCATAAATCAGTTTGTATATAGTTCAAGGAATGTAATATCATTTGCTGCTTTAAAAGATATGTTGATGGAGTTTTATAGTTTAAACTTCTTTAACATGTTTGATTCAAGTAGTGAGTTGTTCAATAGTTTGATATGCTAACCTTCATCAAATATAAGTAAGAATACAGGCGTTCACAACTAATTTGCTACACACAAAAAAGAACTCTCTATGTTTGACATCTATAACTGACATATCCCCAATGCATTTTGTCAAATAGCTAATTCGTCAACAGATATCAGTTAAGTTAACTCACTATACCTATCATGTCACTAGCTTAACTCACTTTACCATTCATGTCACCAGGTTAACTTACTTCACCTATTATGTCACTAGGTTAACTCACTTTACCTATCATGTCACCAGGCTAACTTACTTCACCTATTATGTCACCAGGTCAACTTACTTTACCTATCATGTCACCAGGTCAACTTACTTCACCTATTATGTCACCAGGTCAACTTACTTCACCTATCATGTCACCAGGTCAACTTACTTCACCTATCATGTCACCAGGTAAACTTACTTCACCTATCATGTTACCAGGTAAACTTACTTCACCTATCATGTTACCAGGTAACTTACTTACCTATCATGTCACCAGGTAAACTATTCATGTCACCAGGTAAACTTACTTCACCTATCATGTTATCAGGTAAACTTACTTCACCTATCATATCACCAGATAAACTTACTTCATTAACCACGATACATTAGTAGCACCTATCATATCACTTGGACCAACAGGACCTGTGCTTAATGTAGAGACCACCATGTTCAGTTTCCAGTTCGGTTCTGTCTTGTCTGTAAAAATGAAATATAAATTTATGGTAAATGTGTAATATGGTAACTAGTTAATATCATACAAATCACTTGTCACAATGACAAGCTTGTGAGTTACAAAGATCTATAAATGTCAAAGAAATTATAGTGATAGAAATATGAATATAAAGACAGCATTAACACTGAAGATTGGTGTAAAACTCGTTTATATATAATAGGATAAACAGAACGAAATAACATGTAATGTTAGCAGAAATAAAACAGTGTTTTTTCAGTATCATCTAAACAAGGGTTAAAACACACCGTCAAAATTTATGTATCGTAGCCATTAACAATAGTCAGATATCAATGTTTAACATTATAGTTGACGTACTACAATAAAAATGAAAAATTTCAGTTAAAACATTATCCTAGCTTGATTGCATGGATGGTGTACATATATTTATTTGAATCATTCAGATAATTAAGTCGGCGTCCTGTAACTACAGGTATACTGATTGGAACATAAATCAGACACTATGACAATAGTCTAAGAATGATTCCTATATTGTATTAAATCAATTAAAGTTTTTTACAACAACAAGCAAGCTTCATATAGCATGAAAATAAAAGCGAAACAATTCCAAATATCTCTTAATGAGGAACCGTACTTGTTGACTTGTAGCACTTAAGCAAGTTCAACTTTTAAGGAATATATTTTTCGCTATTTTGTTGAACTCGCGAATATAGCGAAGATTTAACACTTAACTCGCGTAAATTTTTGATTATACAGTTACAAGTACTGGACCAAAACTAAAACATGTTCTTGACCACAGTAAGCCTCGATCCCATGATAATTGTTGTCAAGAAATATATTTCTTACTGTAAATATTTCCAGGTTGTGTTTCTGTTGTCCAGAATGTATCTTTGTATGGAGCCACACCTAAAGCTGCTGCCATAATAGATGATATTCCAATACTCCACTGACCCCCTCCTGGATTATAATCATTAGACACTCTTGCCTGTAACATACAGTCAGGTCTAAAAAAAACTTGTCTAAACTATTTCATATTTCAATGGTCATTTAGACATAGTAACTCGAAAATTTTGCCTGAAATATACAATCAACTCTTAATAGCTCATTAAAAATACTTCATAATATATTTTTAAGTTCTTTATACCTAGTCGTTTATGGTTATTTAGAAAGTCATTCCAAATTTATGCCTGAAGTACAGTAAGGTCTAAAAAGCCTAGTCTAATCTACAAAATATTTTTATTGTTATCTTGGCCTAGTCAATCGAAGTTATTGCCTGAAACGTATAGTCAGTTCTTAACATACTTTTATGACTATTCAGTTATATTTTTTAATGTTCTTTAAGTATATCTATTTGCAATTATGTTTAAAATGACCTATCATTTTCTAAAGTTCAAAACGATTAAAAATATGCCAAAGAAAGGGAATTATATATGAAGATATATGTTGACTAATACCTTAATATTTGGTCGAATGATGCAGCAAATTTAATGACTATTCGCTGTACAAAACAACATACCTGAGTAACTGCTGGGTATAGAAGGGACTGCATGGCGTGCCTGGGGTTTGCCATACAATATTGGATATATATACCATTCTCCTGTGCCGCCTCGGCCATCTGTGTCAACCATGTAGTTCCGAGGTTAAGGTCAGTGAGAAAAGCTTTCAAACCACTAAACTCAACGTTCAACCAATCCTATATAAAGTTGACAATATAAATATAATCATTGTATTACATGTAATTATTGTTTGCTTTATTCATAATAGCTTTAAATGAAATGCATTTTTTTCTCTTCTATTAAAAAAATGTCATTGATAATTAAGCAGTACAATAATCACCAGATAAGCAGTACCATAACCACAGCATAAACAGTGCAATATTTACAGTTATCAAGTACAATACGCACAACATAGGCAGTACAGTACGCTCAACTAAACTGTAAATGCGCAAAACATAACAGTACAGTATGCGCAACATACAAAAAAGGAAATACGCACTACGTAAACAGTACGATACGCACAACAGAAACAGTCCATAATGCACAATATAGACAGTACAATAAGCACCAAATAAGCTCTACAATACGCATAAAAGGTACTAGGTAAATAGAAACTACAAAAATATACTACTCATTGTACTACTACAGATGCTACTAAAACATAGTTATTTTAGTTCAATGATACATTTAAGTTACTACTTGTTTAATATTTTCTATACCTGTTCATAAAGGACAAGTCCCCAGGATTTGGCTTCTTTAAATAAATCCATCCAGAATTGTTTAGAGACAGGGACAGCCTTGAATTTCTCAACTATAAAATCGTATTTACCACCATTCTGTTTGGCATATGTTGTATCGGGAGCCCTGAATAATTAATGTAATGTTAGAATCATAGATTGTAATCAAAATATGATAAATGAAATGAGGAAGCCTTCTTAAACATCGGAGGGACATAAAAATTTAAGTAAACATAAGTCTTTCATAATGATTGTCAGTTAAAGAATATATCATAATATAAGAGCTTGTCACAGACAATACAATCCCCAACGATAATAAGTTGTCTAATTACCTACATCAACCCATATAAATGTGAAAAATTATTATGAAAGACTTTGATTCAGATATCAAGAATCGACACATAGCACGAAAGGAATCATGTTTGTGCAAAAAAAAATAATAGAATGATTTGCATAATATTTATAATTATGGTCCTCTATCCATATACCAAGTAATATCAACTTAACTTTTGTTCTTTTTGAGTTATGACAGGATTCAGATTTAAATTCTTGGGATGGATGATTACACGATTGAAAAAACAAATATGCGCATAGTCTTCATATGGTCCTCCATTCACATACCAAGAATCATTAATCGAGCTTTTGAACTTTTTAAGTTATGGTAGGGTCCAGATATCTTCTAACGGATTGACGCACGGACCGACGGGAAAATGTTAAAACTATACATTTTTCCGGTGAAACCGGTAGGGAGATTATTAAACAATATCTTTACTATATGTTAATAATATGAGGTTATCATACATTTTGAGTACAATACTGAATTTTATTGGACGGTACACAGCTGTCAAAATTATATTGGACGAGGCGGTAGCCGAGTCTAATAAAGGTTTTGCAGTTGTTTACTAGTCCAATACAGTCAGTATCGTTCTTAACCATGTTTTATGACCTCTTTATTTCACACCAACATTTAGACAGAACTTTGTTTCTTCAAATAAAAGGGATTTAAAAAGGAGTTTAAACGCTCAAAATATGAAAATGAGGCTAGATACGGTCCGTATTGTATTTGATATAAACCTTTTGGACTCTGGAAAGGAAAACGAGGTTTTAATGTGTGTAATAATGATTTGATATGGACTTTTTGAATTCTGGAAATTAAAACGAGGCTAAATTGATAAATTTGAATCTAATTTTCGATTTCTATTGGAACATCACGTGGTGCAAATGCTGAAAGTGCATTGGTTATATTTTATAAGATGTGTAATAGTTTGTGAAGTCACGCATTTATATAATATGTTAAAGTGTATACCTGAGTGAGAGAAACTGATATATGTTAAGTGAAATTTAAATGATTCTGATGTGTCAACTATCATAGTATTATTACAAGGTTAGCTTTTAAAAAAGCTAGTAGCGACTCGCTTCTAATTTTTTTCAAGGGGTGTGTTTAAATGTAAAAATGACAGTTCTGTTAGCTGAAGAGACTTCAGCGAACATCAAAATAAAAGTGAAGTCAACACTGGCCCGGTGCCCGATGGCCAGTGTATATAAGTTCAGGCCAGTGTAAATTTAAGAAAATTTTGTTAATTATTTAGTAGAATAAATTCAAAACTGGAATTCGGGCCAGTAAATTCAAAATCTTAAACTCATTGACTGAAAGTGACATATAAAGTTCTCTCAGTTTAACCAAGATGAGTATGATTATATATGAAGGTGCATGTAAACAGATTGAATGAAGAACCTATGTCTATGCACATTTACTATATGGCCTGTTGACCTTGACCACAAATGTTAGATAGGTAGATTTCATAAAGATGTCTCTTTATACAAAATTAAGTTGTAATACATGTATGTTATTTAGTATTGGAATGAGAGGCACAAGTCCTAAAGTAACACAAGTTGTCAATCAATTCAGCCAGAAAAGCCGGGATCCTATTAAAAAATATAGGGATCCCAGAAATTGACCAGGCTAAGAAGATGTTTTTCAGATAAAGCCGGGATCCTATTTTAAAAAACATATAGGGATCCCGGGAATTGAAACCAGTTCAAGAATATAGTTTTCAGAAAAGCCGGGATTGTATTAAAATGTAAATAGATCTCACGGATTGGCCAGTTCAAGTATATAGTTTTCAGAAAAGCTGGGATCGTTTTAAAACATACAGGGATCCCGGGATTTGACCAATTCAAGAAAATAGTCTTTGATTTTTCCAATTAATTAGGCATATAATTATAAGTATTGTGATTTCCGCATTTTAAGTTTGTTAATAAATAGCTCTAAATATATCTATATTCTAAATTAAATTAATTTAACGTTCATTATATACAATAAAAAAAAATAACGTTTTATGGCCTTTCATTACGACAACAATCAACACAAATATAGTTCATTAGGTTTTTCCTCCATATCTTATACTATCCCGGATCCCGGGCGTTCCGGATCCCGGCCAGTAAATACATACACTAAATACCGGAAAGGATAAAATGACCGGAAAAAAGGAAAAATAAAAAATGCACAGAACCAGATGTACACTTATGTTAATTAACCAAACGAAAACTTACTACAGAGAAAACAGGTGAAATCGCTAAATCAGAAGTCAGTGTAAATATGATTTATTGAAAAGAATTCATAAAGACAAACATTTTAATCATCATTATATCTTTGCGCTCAAAACAATACTTGCTGATTTTTAAAAATGGCGTGAAAATTGAAGGTTTTTTGACGCTATGTAAGATTAAATTTGATTGGCTAAATAATTTTGGATCCTAGCCCTGATAGATAAATTTTGTAGAAAGCTGGAAGCCAAGCTTCGATTAAATTTTTGGATAGCTTCGGAGTTTTAGGTTGTTTCTCAGTAAAATCCTACCGTAATACCGGCTCGCCGTGGCGAGCCGGCATCACAACTCTAACGGTAAAAGTATAGCTTATGTGTGTGCTGTATGGTACATGTATAACTAGAACTTACCAGTATCTATTATGACCTGCAGCGGGGTATTTAATCATTTTTGTAACATTTCTGAAAGTAATTGATAATAGTGAAAGATTACTAATTATTAATATATTCCGAAAAAAGAAGAAAAAGTCAACAAGCAAATATTCTATATCTATCTGTCTCACGTCTTATATTAAGATGCTGATGAACTATCTTTGATTCTGTTTGCAATTGGTATAATTTCAGTGATAAAGTATTTTGAATAGAAGTCAAAATACTACTTTGTTCACATTTTGTTACTTGTAAAACACAATAATTCATGTTTAGTTCTCTTTTTCTCTTTTCTCTTTTTGTTGATAAACATCTAATATGCTCTTAACAATCAATTAAACACATGTTCGACCTTTCTAAAGAATATTTTTAAATCTGATTTCTGTTGCATTATGTGCCTTTAATCTAGAAATAAAGTCCTACACAAAGCCGTCTGGAAATACGTCCGGTCTGGAGACCCAGGTTTTAACACCATCACCAATACCTTTATAATACCACCACGAGTCATATTGCATATATCTGAAATACATAATGAGTTAGACATTTTTTTCTTTATGTTTTGCTCGGGTCAAATTTGTTTAGTTAATACTTTGGTCACTTTTCATTGCTCCGGTCATTATATGGTGTGCGGGTCTCTATTCAATGGCTAGGATCATTATGTTTTCTCTGGTTGTGCTCGGGTCACCATGTTTTTTTTCTCTTTTGTCCATGCCCGGTACCCTATGATTTTGCCTGTGCTCAAGTCACTACTAGTATGCATTTGCTCGTTCTCGGATCATCATGTTTTTCTCGTGCTCAGTTGCTCTGTAATGCTTTCGTTCACAAGATAAAACTGTCTTACCACTCGCAGAAAACTTAACTAAAGCATAAAAAAATTGTCTTATAAAAATTACTTTAACATTGTTGGGTACACTATAATGATACTTCATAACATATTTAGACAATTCTTTTTAAGGTAAGAGCATAGCAATATCTTTTTATCACTAATATGTAGTCGGCGCTTTTTTATGTAAACTTTTATGTATAGCAAAACTATAACCAAATTAATTTTAATTATTAAATTAACATTAAATATTTAATAATTAAAGTTTTATTATATATTAGAGATAACAAACCTATACGGAATGTTCATTTTATTTGCATAATCTCTGACATCTAAAATCGTCTGCTCGTAGTTTTTATTCGGTTCCGTCTTATAGTAGTAGTAATCCCTTGAAAAAAACTTTTTTCACTCCTTTTTAAGAAATTTTTTCCCCTTTAAAAAAATGTGCAAATACTCCGCGTTGTTTGTTCTTTGAAATCATTTTAACGAGCTTCAGGGGCCTTTGATAATTGTAGTCTGTGTAAGGTGGAAACAAGATCAAATCCTATTTAAAAACATTGTACGGGTTTCATTAAAGAAAGTTGCCTCGTAAAGTCAGTGGGGAAATAAAATAACCCATATATTAAATAGTATCAAAAGAAAAAAACAAATTTAAGTTATAAATTAAGATTATGCAAACATTAACTTAGTCATAAATCTAGGACAATGTTATATAAATCTAAAAAACTTTAAGAACTTTAAGTACTTATTGTAAATGTATTAACAACATGTTGTATCATAGTTTGAAATAAACTATGTTTAAACTAACTTTAAGTAACAAAATTATATCAAGAAACATTTCTTATAAGAATGCAGTTCTGTAATTTACTTTACTTACAAATTAAAATTAATTTTAGCAATCTGGCATACACTCCTAGTTTATGTCTGGCATACACTCCTAGATTATGACTGTTAACAACAGGTCTAGTTACAGACAAATAATGCATATTGGTAAATTATTTATTAACTTATTAATTAAATTAGTAATAGAAAGAGCACCGAAACTCGAGGCTATCTGATTTGTACGAGGGGGCGTAGCCCCCGAGTATTAACCAGATTGCCGAGTGTTTTGGTGTTCTTTCTCTTTTGTATCATAGTCAAACATAAAAACACGTTCCCCCGTTTTCAAATATGAAACCCAGATAAAAGTAAAACCCAAAGAACGAGATCTGAAAATCATATTTCTATGCGTTTCTTTCTCTGTCTCACAAAAAGTAAACCCCCGCAAAAATGAACCCAATCAATAGGCGTGCTCAGGTGCGGGTACCCAATACTGACTCCGTTAACGACTGTGCATGTATATGTAACGATTTAACTCTGGCAATTTTCAACAGAAAAGGTCCAAAATATGATACAATTTTTAATTAAAAAAGAGAAAGAAATCAAAACATCGCAATCAAATTATACTCGGGGGGTACGCCCCCCGAAAATAAACAATAGGCCGTTTTCGATGCTTTTCTTTCTAATAAAATAGGAGAGAGAATAACTTACCAAATTTTCGTCCAGTAACCGATATTTTTATGGTAATATCACCTTCTTGTTGTTTTGGGCTTTTTCCATAAAAACTTCTTAGGGACTTACCCCAACCTTCAAATGCCTGAAAACACAAAAAACACTAATTATTTAAAACATCATGTTTAACGTATTGATAAATCTAATTTTACCCAATAATAAAGTGATTAAAACTTAAAAGTGTAACGGTTTTATTAGGATCGTTAATAATTGATCTCTTAAGCATGCATAAAAAATGACTTTGCTTTGAATGAAGATTTGTCTTTAAGAAAGAAAACAGCTGAAAAGAAGTGTATGTATCAAATAAAATGTTAAAAATGAGGCAATCTACAATTTAAACAAAAGTGCAGGCCAAGTTGATAAGTGTCTGAATCACCACCAAGGAATCGTGGGTTTCAGTTCTACTGGGATCACCACAATACATCCGAGTGCATTGGGAACCCGACTCCAACGTTTATAAATTTTAAATTTTTTAAACTATCCTTTAAAAAAATTTATTTAAATCACTAAATGAAAAGCGGTTAAATTTTCATTTTCAGATACCTTATTTAACCCTTTCCCCTAAAAATGATAAAGTCTTGGGATGCCGGGGGTATAGAAGAACCCCCTTTAAAGTTTAAACAATTTTTTTTTTTATTTTTTTGGGCAATTAAAAATTAATTCAAAAATTTTTTTTTAAAAAGGGGTTATAAAATTTAAACAAATTTTAAAAAAAAAAAAGGTTTTTTTCTTTTTTACCTTTTTTTTTGTCCAAAAAAATATTTTTTTTTTCTTTAATTTTTTGGGCCTTTGGGGCGTTTTTAAAAATAGATTTTGGGGAAAAATCTTGGACCCATAAAAAATAAATTTTCTTTCAAAGCCATCTCCCCAAATGAAAAAGTACAAAATTTTTTATAAAATTAAAAAACATCAAGAAATCTTATTACAACTTTGCATTCTATTTAGGATAAAATATGACGCTGATATTTTGCTATAATGTTGACGATGAATTTTCTACGGCAAAACAAAGTATAGTTCCATGTACCATTTTAGAATTATTGCATTTTGCCCTTGGTTTAAGGAGCATCTTGTGACAAGACTTACCTCCCATTATTCCACCATAATAATTGCCTCCCTTGTTCAGATCATGAAGAAAAGAGGCTGACATAAAGTTATTGAAAGGTGAAATAATAAGCGTCCGGCCATCCTGATCAAAAAGTGCAAGAGGACCACCAGTTATTCCATAATTTATGTTATCTGTTTCTTTTGACCAGCTGAAAGTACGATTTATACATAATACAGTGATGATACAGTGATGATGCCGTGTCCAATAAATATAGAGAAAAAAACATGAAGGCATATTGTATTTATGGTTAAAACGTTAACATATTTAGAGAAAAGTGTATACCTATAGAGTGAAAACATTGTAACATTATGAAACCTAGAAAAGCAAGTGAGATGACCAGAGAGAAGTTGATGACTAGAGAGAAGTTGCTTCAACTCTTTGTACTGTCACCGTATTAGGATGTAAGGAGATTCAATAAGCTTATGATTTTTTTCTTGTTGTTGTTCTTTCAAATCATTGTAGTATTGAATTAGTATAGAAAACAATATCTCGATTTAACAAGCTGAAATTTTTTTTGAAAATTTCCAATCTCTATATTAATGACGATATCATTAATGTAACAGTTTTATTATTGATGTTCCCGAATTACAATACATGTATACAAATGTATATCTCACAACAATAAAATATAGACTGCTAACCTGCCCATGGTTTTATGAGTATCTCCGATCATCATACCACCGTATGACAGGAATCCCAGTTTTCCCGGGTCTCCCTCCATCTTAAACCCGGGAAATCCACCACATATATTCTCGTATGTGAATCCCTGGGTCCAATTTGCCCCATCTTTGAAGTACTTCAGACATAAAAACATAACAGATAAAAATTAACATTTCTCATATTAGGGAGATAAAATGTATAAATTAAACATAAGTAAAGATAACACGTGGTCAGCGGGTTCATAGTTAAAAATGAATGATTTCCTTCTTCTTTGAAATAAGCATTACTAAAAATGTAATTGAATTATAGTTGATCTATGTCTGTTTTTTCCAATCACTGGTGAAATTTAACCGGCAACTGATACTACCCATGCGACCAGTGCATACCAAGATCAGCCGACATAAACGCTATTCAGTCATTTTATTTTAAAATTTTCGCTAACAAATCTTGGACTTGACCTGGAGAACTTGAGCATAGGTTAAGCATTACTAAAAGTGATGATTGTGTAACAACCAGAAACTTACTTGTTGGAATATAATTATAGGTAGACGAGGATAAGATTTGATGACAGCTACAATCTTGACGGCTGCTGCGTCAGTTGTTTGGTAAAGAAACGTGGTACTCTGCCATTGTCCAAGTTTGTCCGTGCCGGAAGTAGCGCTTGTTTCAATCAACTTTAGAGTACCGTCAGAACTGTTGTGAGTTTTGTTGTTGACATTAAAATATGTTGGTGCATTGTTAAGCCAAGTGGTACCTGCAGATACATGTTCAACGTATAATAAATTGTGCAGTGAAATATTTCAAAATATTTGCATAAAACTATGTAAGAAAGCTATTACAAAAACTGTTGATACTTGTGTTAAGAGGAACTGGAGATTCAGACTCCACGAGAATTTTTTCGTTAATTAATTTCTTGTGTAATGTATTATACATACATGTATTTGCAAGACGATGTATTATGTACACCTCTCAAATAAAATGTCTGTTCTGTTCTGTAATGTCTAAAAGTTATCAGACTTACGACGTGATACCACTATTTACCTTATTACACTGGTATATTTGATGCGTCTTGCTTTGAAACAAGTTCAATTTTCTTTCAAACGATTTACATAATAACATTATAAAATTGAGTGGCCAGCTAGTTAGGCTATATGGATGTGAAGGCATGACCGACTCTATTATGTTTTTGGTCCCCCTTACCCTCAAAAGATTAAAGTTAATCATTAGTGGTTGGGAGAATTTCCTTTAACCTGCTGAATTTTATTTATGGATTTTCCCAGCTTTTAATTTAAAAACTGTCCATCCAAAGTGAATGGGATTTCAATATCAAGCTACCAACAATATATAGACCTGGTAAGACCTATACTAGCTCTATAGTGGTGGCAGCAAGTAAATGTTTTTTGAACAGGTTGTATGGACTACATACGTTTCCATTTGAAACAACACAATCATAACGGAAACAGTTAAGCAACAAACAAATGCAAGACAACGTTTAACTATACGGATATTTAGGAAAATAATTAATTTATTATATATAATAGAACGTTTCAACTTTGCAATTATTATAACTAATTAAACGGAACAGTAATGCAACAATTACGAGTCAACGTTTAACTATGTGTGTGTTTTTTTAACTTTTTTTTCTTTCTTTTTTTTTAACTTTTTTTCAAAATCAAAATATTATCTTTAATATGTTTATTTCATAGACCGTTTATGGTAATAAATATATATTATTATACATTAGAATATATTACTCCAAAGGGTTCGGAGTAAATGTTTTACCATTTATAATAATGCTGTATGATCCATTAGTGACGATACTGATAACAAAGTCATCATCTCCTGACAGCACGTGCCGTGTCTCGTGCCCTGAAAATATAAATAGTACATCTATAGAAAATACTCTAGACAGGGAAAAAATACAATATTGTAGTACGGAAATTAAAATATAAAAGAACACTTTTAATGTACATAATACTATAATAAACTTCCTGGACAATAAATATACATAGTGTCTTCCGGATTAACAATTTTGAGTTGTATAAAGTTTTACAGCTACATGTAGTACTTAAATATATTAAGTGTTTGCATTAAACTGTCAACATTCGTTTATGGTCGCACTCGGGCCAAATCATCAAACTTTAAAAGTTTAAATTGTGCATAAAATATCTCAAATGAAAATTGAATTTCGTTTGAGGCTAATATTGATATAAATGCAAATTTATAAACTTTATAGTATACCATAGCGATTATAACTACATGTTGCAACATGATACGTTTTCTATTGTCAATAGTGAACTAGAATATGTTATACTTAGTTCTGATTTAAATATTTAAACATATATACACATTTACATATATACTAGTATATAGGCAGAACGTACGAATATGTACAATCTTAATAAACCTAAACAAATAACATTATATATGTCTTTTGAATCAATGAGTACTTGTGTGCTAGTAAAATCGTCCACGTGCATATGCTGCACGTTAAACCTACCTTTAAAAGAACGTGTCTCCGTGCATACAAAGAACAAACCCAAGCATAACACTTTATATATTTTCATTATATTCATCATCCTAGATAACGAAAAAAAAATGTTAGTCTATATCATCAGTAATCCGTTTACATGTACATTATTCTGAAAGTCAACACTGGTTAAGGTTACAACTTTACTTCATAAATCTTTACAATTTAATGTTATAGTAGTCAACGCATCACAGCACAATCCAATGGACTGTTTAATTTCATTGATTTTAGCTGGAAAACCAATATTTCAGTTGTTAACATGAATTATTGAATACAAATGGTGAATGTTGAACTAAGGGAAATAAAAATACTGTACATTTGAATGTATTGACTTTTCTACAAGGTGTAGTATTTTTTTAACAGTTCAGTGCTTTTGAAGTCAATATTGACGCTCTCCAATGTCAGTTAGATAATTATAATTGCAAGTAGAGTTAAGTTATTGCAAAATACTAAAATAACTATCCATTATTATTTCTCTCTAAAAAAGGTGAAAAAGATTAATCAATACCGCTCCATATTTTATTTCAACACATATTGAAAATGTATATTTATTTTACACCTGGTAAGGTATAACCAGTGAACTGTCAAGGTTTTGCACCACTTGATGTTCGTATGGAAATCATTATTGGACCCAAATCTAATCAATTTAGCCTCACATTCGTTTCCAGGGTCCAAAAAGTCTATATTAAATCAATATTGCACCCAATATATCCTCGTTGTCATTCCCATAGCCCAGAGTCCAAAATAAATATATCAAAAGCACAAGAAAAGCATTGATGCAAAGCATCAAAGGGCGACGCCAAAAGAATTTGATCCAGGTTTGCACCTAAATACTTAACAAAAGATGTGTACTTTATAGCAGTACCATTTCATGTGACCTGGAGGCTTGGCCCAGTTTATGTTGAAACTTAAACCAAAAAGAATAGACTCTGCCTTGCCAAGATGCAAAGACAATTTATAGTCAATAAACCAATTTTAAGATTTACTTTACCAGATACAAGGATACCTGAGTCATCATCATATAATGACAGGCACAAGTATCACACCTGGGAAGAAAAAATATGACCAGATTAATAAAAAATCTGTGTTCATCTTAAAAGTGTCAAAAACCAAAAAAAAAAAAAAAAATGTAAATAATGACCCCCTTTAAAAATATACTATTAACTTTAAGTATATTTTTAAAGGGGGTCATCATCAATCTCATTAAAATCATATCCTAACTGTCGCTTCACTACCCTACGCTCGTAGCGAATAGTAACGGAGCAAAAACGATGATCTGATTTTAATGAGATTGGGGTCATCATTTACATTTTTTTTTTTGGTTTGTGACACTTTTAAGATGAACACAGGTTTTTTTATCAATCTGGTAATATTTTTTCTTCCCAGGTCTGATACTAACATGCCTGTGCATATAATAAAAGATTATTGCTTAGGGTTGCAGTCATTGACATATATTAGACATAAAAGAGGACCTAAAATGAACATCAGGGGGACACCATAGGTATTCAGAGAGAAGGAGTACCAGCCACATTCACCAGCTGCTATCAGAGATAAGACTTAAACCATGCAAGAATGTCATTACATATGGCAGATGCTTGAAGTTCCATGAAGAAGAAGAAAAAAGAACTTCTTCATGTGCAGTATATAGTGTGATCAACTGTACCAAATGCTTTTTGTAGATTTAAAAGTATCACGCAATACTGCCTTTGTCCATTTCAAATTAAATGCAATCTATTAAATGAATCAAACATGTGTCAGTTGAAAAACCACTTCTAAACCCTGACTGAAACTGCCTGACCATGACTCGAACCCAGGACTTTCAGAAGACCAACTGAGCTATCCGGCCGGCTACACATTTTCTCTTTAATAATGAAACAGTTCTAAACCTAAACCTTTTTCCCCACTATATTGATTCATGTACTTGAATTTCTGATGTTTACAGAGCATAGTAAATTAAACTAATGGTTATTTGCAGTAACAGGATGAGAAAAACTTTCAGCTTGACCAGAACTCAAACCTGTGACCCACAGAATAATGTACCGCGGCTGTAGCGATTGAGCTATCTGGCCGCTTACACATTTTCTCCCCTAAATAGTGAACAGTTCTAAACCGTGACAGATATTTAGATTTTTAAATTAACAGATAATTAATTCTTAATTAATAAATAAGAAAAAAAAACTTACATACTCATAGTCTTAATTAAAATAACAATTTATATAATTATTATTGTATAATTATTTTTACTAAAAAGGGCTAAGACAGTTATTGGTTGTGCCATTATTTATAACAGGTCAATTTGAAAGTGAATATAACTGTGCTAATACATGTACAATATCTATGATAAGAAATTTTATGAAGGCTGATTTGTATTTTACATCAAGGGCACCGGGCGAAAACATGAAAATGCAACAAACGAACCACTTTGTGGTAGATTGTATTTTCATGTTTTCATCTGGCGCCCGGTTACTTTTTGTACTTTGTTGGTTTTCATGTGGCACAAATCACCCACTATAAAATTTAGTGTACAAATTTATTCAAGGACAAGTATCAATCTACTCTATGAAAAGTCTGTTGTCGGGTTGACTATGGAGACCTGGAGATTGAGACCGGTGTCCCTCCATAACAAATAGATAAGGCAGAAGCTGTCCTTTTCAAACTATGCACATGTTAGAAAAAAATTAGAATAACAATTCAGAACATCATTTTTTGAGGCTTTAACAATTATATTGCTTGATCCAAGTTTCAGGACATTTTCAATCAATACATGTATTATCATTTATAACTTTAAATGAAAGTCTCATCCCTTTAATAATAATGACATAACTGCAACTCTTTAAATTCAGAAATATTATAAGTCTCATCATACCAATATACTAAGATATAAATGTATGCACATAACATTAATAATTCCAAGTTTCTATTAAATAAATATGAAATATTGGGTATATAAAGCCAGTAAAAGTATATATATATCAATATTCACTCATCAGGGCCTCTATGCTTTTGATGACCTTACAACTGGTAAATTTTATAAAACAAAAATTGTAAGTAATACCTAAGATAGACAGAAAAGAACAAATAATTTAGTAAACATGAGTTACTTCCCCTTGAAATAAAGAAAACATGAAACCCAAAAGAACACCCTAAACATCAAAATTAAGAAATGTTGCAGGCTCATTTTAATTATGCCATGCAAATTAATGGTAAAGTATTCATAAAAAAGTAGATGGCCATGTGACAGCAGTAATTGCAGAAAATCGGATAGCTGTCAACATCCGGATACTGGTACACTTTGTAAAAACAACCATTCTGTTCAACAGATAAACGTAATATGGATAAAATCAATAAGGATAATCGTTTACAACAGTCCATTACCTATCCTAATACTCATTTGCAGGTGAACTTTCTCTTTGTAGGAAAGTTTTGAAAATATATAAATGAATGAGCATCAATGTAGACCACAACGATATTCGAAATCCGGGTTTTAGTATTGTCAATAAAACAAAGGGACAAGCTGTTAATCAGAGCCTGCAATTTCGTGAAAATAATATCACAATGCACATGCTTTTTATATAAAGTTATTAAATACAAATATAACAACATATTTGTTTACTTGATTTTTACGAATCAAAATAAATATAATTAACACAACATGAAATTAACTGCTAATAATAACAGCTCCTTCCATAGGCAAAAATAAAAAGCGTTCCATAAAAGACGACGCCGCTCACCGGCGTCGCCAATAATTAGCTAGCATACTCTATCCAGCCTGGTTTTAATTTTTTAGAGTCAAAATCAAATCTTTATTGTAATTGAAGTAAGCAAATACTGTCAAAATGTCAAGAAGTGGTGATGTGAAGTAGAGGTCGTTATACATTGTTGAGAGCAGTACTGATTCCATTTGACTCATAAACAGCTACAAAATAGCTAACAACTCGTCCAATATAGCTTTAACAGCAATAGAAATCAGTATTGTATTCAAAAATCTATAATAACCTCATACTATCATTTTCCATATAAAATTACATGGGTAATATGTTGGATTTTTTGGGGGGTTTTTTTTGTTGTTGTTGTTGTTGCTGCTGCTGCTGTTGTTTGTTTTGTTGTTTTTTTTATTTGTTTTTTGTTTTTTATATATCTATGTAAAAGATACTTATCTAGGACGTTTAAACGAAGCATGTTAAATGATGTTGTCAAGAGGCAATCCACGACAATATTTTTTCTAATAAAGACCGATTTAAATATGGCTATTTGCACGGGTTGTATTTAAGGGTAAATTTTATTGTGTCATGTTGAATATTAGTACAAAACTTGTATCATATGATAAAACTGTAACATTATTTATGACAAACACTGACTCAAGATATCTTAAAACAAGTATAAACATTTCGGCATTTTAGTGATATATTAAGATAAAAATCGACGTTGAGCTGAATTATAATTTTTCTATTTCTACCAATACAACAACAACCATTGCCGCGGCACAGAGGCAAATATATTGTGCTATGTTCAGAAGCAGCTTGATGAAAAAAAATGCAACATAATACGCACGATCTTATATTTAAAAAAAAAATATATATATATATATATGTCAAAAAAGTCCAATTTCCAGCAAAAATTATTTGTGGTCTTCAAATGTTTATTGAAAGAGTATCTCTTTAATCGACTCGTGATGATTGGTGTACTACGAACACTTTAACAGTCCATGATTTAATCAAAGGGCTGCAAGCTCTGTGGTATTTTCTGATCTTTGCCATCTAAATCATACTGACTATTTGTATGTATTTTCCTATATAAGTTTATTTTTATATACTATAATTCATCTTACGCAGCGACTGCGTTAAGATTTTTTTCTATAACAGTTTGAGATTGATACATATGGAATTTTGCATGACTAGAGTTGCATCAAAAATCATTTTTTATGACAGCCACACAATATCCTTGCATATCGTGGCTACTTCCTTAAAAAGACACTTAAAAAAAAAAGTTGCCTCGACTAGGATTTGAACCTTAGGCCTCTCACACCCTAAACGAGCGCGATACGTGCGCGATACCCCTGCACCACGGTGAAGTAATACGTAATATGTAGCCTGAATAAAAACAAATACATTGTAATTCTAAATTGAGAATTTCCATTTCGTGTTTGTTAAATCCTTATCAATTTCGAGGTATTTTGTTCACGATAAAACAGTCCGACATGTATATATTCCATTACTCGGCAGTCAGATTTATTTGTGTACTACGCCCTGGAGTATTCAGTAATCGACATAGCTAAAAATAGCATTTTCATTGATTAAAATGATATTCATCCGCGAAATTTGTGATTGTTACCTCATATTTCTATTGACTAATCTGAACTTTCAATGCACTGTAATTCGTTAAATGCCTACATTAAAATTATTCTGTCTTTTAAATTGCTGGTTTTTAAGCAATTTTGATTGAGAACTACTTTGCGTTGTTAGGTCTGTTAGGAAATTTTGTGTTAGACCGTGGATGTTAGCTATGTATTTACTGATCTTGCGATCAGAAAATACAAAAACGATGATTTTTCCAGTATGATTTACACTAGGTAAATTAATGCTATGTAAAAAAAACAAGTATAACTTATACTTCGTAATAAAAATGGTATTTTAATAAGTATAACTAAGGCAATGTCAGACTCAAGAATCTACTAATGATACGTTCGGAATCAATACAAAATCACTAAATAAAAATACAATCTCTAAAAATAAAATGCAACGCAACAACTTCGGACCACCCAATAAATTCCGGAGCAGAGCCAGATAAACTTTCTCCATCCACGGCACCAACCTATTATTCTCTATATATTAATCCCTTTAGTCCGCTTCCTGGAACAAACAAGTACTGGTGCCATGTGAAGAAACATGGTTGTGACCCGATTAGGGGTCGACACCTCAACTACTAGGCCACCGCTCTACACTTTAACTAGTGGTACATTCAGAATAAGTACAATTAATGGTACGTTCAGAATTGGTAAAACTGAAACTACGTTAAGAACAAGTATAATGTATGGTTAAGATACAGTACCGGTACTACTGATACGTTCAGAATTTGCTGGTAATAAGTGTGAAATGCATTCACCTATACTGAAACACATACCCTTAGTTATGTAGATTTATCTTTTATGTAGGGCTATCACAAGATAAATAAATATCATTAATTATTATCTGACCTTTATTATGTAAAACTATCACAAGACAAGTGCATCTGACTATTTTGCAATACATGTCCTTTACACATATAATATTTTAGTTCGACTGTGAAAGAAGCTATAACATAGATATGCTCTCGAATGCGTTCTTGGAACCAACCAGTATTGTGCAACGAGTGCAAAGCTCCTTTCTCTAGGAACCAATGGCTTGCCCTTGACGGGATATTGAATCCATGCTTGATTACTTGTTAGGATGCGTTGACCACTCGGCTATTGTACCACCTATGTACTTTGTTATTGTGATTGAACTATAAAGAAACAATATGGCCTTTGTTATGCTATAAGGAGGCAATTACATTTATCTTTTACATGGCATATACCTTTATGTATTGTGTAATACTTATTCTGTGTTGTGTAGAACTATCACAAGACAAATACATTTATTTATTCAGGATTTAAAAACTTTTGCAATTATCAGATCGCTCATCTGTCTTAGAACTGTTCAACAGAATACAAATCTTAAGGTAGGAGTATCAACAATGATTTAACTTTCATTTTAACTGGGTTTTTTCTTCGTAAATATACATATATGGCTTCTTTCTTTACCGGTAGTCATCCATAATTAAACATTACCAAGATATCATCCAAGCAAACGTCTTGTTTAATGAAGATCCAGTAAAAAGTGACACATTTCCGAGTTGGAACACGCTTTTTCTTGCATAGTGGAGGTCTATTTTTTCATTGCATTTAAGTTGGGGACTATTTTTAATCGATTATGAACCATATCTGTAATGAATGTAAATATTATAAGTACTAAGACCGATATTTTGAACAAGTTTCATTGGTATTTATTCCATTGATTTGACTGGTGACACAGTTTTGACCCAAGTTTACTTTTTTTTAAATTTAAGATATAAGTAAGACAAACACATTCATAAAGTTTATTGGAGACTTATTTAGAAATGTAAGTTCTAAAGATTTAACAAGGTTTTCATAAGTTTTCAGTTGGTAACCTACTTTTTGACCCCTTCACATTTGACCGAGACAGAGCAAGTTTCATTCAGATTTAAGTGAAAATGCCTTTTCAACATAATTGAAATAGTTTTCATTTTTTCTAACTTGGTGACCAAGCATTAGACCCGAATCTTGACCTTGAGAAAATTTCATTAACAACTGATATATAAAATACTAGGCAAGGTCTTCTTTGACTTCATGCCAAATCATTCAACTAATTGTTCATGTTCATTATAGGCACATTATGCCTCAGATATCTGTATTTCTCTAATTCTTTAAAAATGTCAAAGATGTGTTATGTGTAATGATTTGTATTAATAATGTATTGAAAACATGCTAGCTGTATAACAACTGGAGAAAGTAGCGCTGAACTTGCAGTTATTTATGGTAAAGGTAACAAAATGTTTGTTTGTTTCATTTTACGCCTTTTCCCCTACAGTGTTTCAGTCATATAGTCGGGTAGTTTCCTAACCATCGTTCAAGGAGAGTTACGCCAGTACTAGACTACCTTCCTCCATGCTAAACTACCAAAGCATCTCCCGGGGATCGAACCCACGCCAGAGAGGTAACTGGATTAGAAGTCATAGACTCAAACTCCTTGACCACGGAGGCGGTTTAACAAAATGTAAAGAAAGTAGTAATTTGACTTCCATACAAATTACTAATTCTCGAAAAAGAACCAAACGATATGTTTATGGCAGATGAGATTTTCTGGAAACAGCAAAAAGATACCAATAATAAAACGTTGTTGTTAGCATTTCTGAGGAATAATGGGCCTTTAAGAGCCAATCTAATAAAATATTTTAAAAATCCTATTATAACTCCTAGATTGATTACAAACCAATTGTGTACAGCTGATGATAGATGGACAAAAGACAATGGATTGGTAGGGGCGTCCATGGCCGAGTGGTTAAGGTCGTTGACTTCAAACCACTTGCCCCTCACCGCTGTGGGTTCGAATCCCCCGACAGGGAATTTGGGTTATTTCATGTGAGGAAGCTATACAGCTAGCTTACGGAACGTCGGTGGTTCTACTCAGGTGCCCGTTCGTGCCTGAAATAATGAACAGAAGGGCACCTGAGGTCTTCCTCCACCAGTAAAGCTGGAACGTCGTCAAATGACCTATACTGTGTTGGTGTGATGTAAAACCCAAGACAAACAAAACAATGGATTGGTCCAAATAGCTAACACTCTAAACCACTTCATGCTCATGGAAACTAAATAAAGGACATAAAACAAACAATACATCTTAAATTCAATAGTGTTTATTCAATGTACCACCATATCATCTAAAGCAGATCACGTGTAACATATTTGCAGGTTTTTTTTTTACCAAATACTTCTCTTAAACAAGAGTATTTTAACAACTGTTATTTTGATAATGACAATGTTTTGCAATCAATGGATGCATATTTTTATTTCAGTATTTGGTCACATATACATTATTTTCAAAGTAGGCATCAAGTCCAAGCACTTGTCAATTTTCTTTTCAATCATCATCATCATCCTTATCCTGTACTAGTCCTCCAAACACTTCTGTAGGCACAGTCTGTGTTGGTACTTCTGAAATGTTAATATATAAACATTTAAATATACAAAGTTCCTCAAAATGCTTGATAAACAACTAAAGGAATGAGTCCAATGACTAGACAATTAAAATGGTAATCATGCTAGATAGCTGTTATTACAACTTATGTTAAACATGACAGCACTTTTTTCTTGCATGAGGGCACTCCTATTCCACATGAGCACACACCTTCTACTCTTATGCACACACATATTTCAATTTAGAACACACCTACCTCATTAGGACACTCGTACCCCAAATGAGCACAATAACCTTGCATTAAAACACATCTACCTCACACGAGCAATACAACCTCACATGTGCAATACAACCTTTAAAACAAATCTCTCCTGAGCACACCTACCTCACTTGAGCATACCTACCTCACTTGAGCACACCTACCTCACTTGAGCACACCTACCTCACTTGTGCACACCTACCTCACTTGCGCACACCTACCTCACTTGAGCACACCTACCTCACTTGCAAACACCTACCTCACTTGCGCACACCTACCTCACTTGAGCACACTACCTCATTTGAGCACACCTACCTCACTTGAGCACACCTACCTTACTTGCTCACACCTACCTCACTTGAGCACACCTACCTCACTTGAGCACACCTACCTCACATGAGCACTTTAGCACACCTACCTCACTTGAGCACACCTACCTCACTTGAGAACAGACCTTTCTCTCATGAGAACCCACCTTCCTCAATTGGGCATTTACCTACCTTACACAGGCACAAACCTATATTGTAATAGCTCTAAAATCTGAGCACAGTCTTACTTGACATGAGAAGGCATCTGCTTTCATTATTATAAATAAACTTACGGAATCAATTCTTCGATTTTTAATAAAGAATCTTAGAATTTGGAGAAAATGTTTCTAAATATCTCAACATTTTGTGGCGTAAATTCTAGGGAATTTTAGTCTTTTGGAGGTCAGCCTATCAGTTCTGGTAAACAAACTACAAGTTTCTTGTACTCTATGTAGTTGGAGGTTGATTACTGCACCAAACCAGCACATAGAAACAAGGTCTAACTATGTAGCGTTTACTAGAGTAAAAAATTAGAGTGCTTACTTGCTAAACTCGCTGTAAAATACAGAGGTAGGGTGTTCTGTCCGTACTAATAGTGTGCAGTCACCCGCGTACCCTCTAAATAGCTAGAATAACACATTATCTGGTTGCTAAAATATTGGTTGCTACATACTGGTTGCTATTTGTTGGTTGCATATACACTGGTTTAAAAAATTGTCTCTATTATCTGGTTGCTACATACTGGTTGCTTTACAATGTTTTCAAAAATCGTCTCTATATGTTGCTAGTAATTAATGGAAAATTACTGATAGGCTTCACTTCCACTGACTAAAATTTTTACATGTTGCGGCCAAAATCATTCCATCCTATTACCAAACTATTGGAATAAATTCAGTAAATGTAAACCTGAGTTTTTGTTGTATTTCAATATATGCTTAGTGTATTGGGTGTTATCTATTTCTTAAAATAAAGAATCTTATTTGTAATTTCTTGATAACAATAATTCACGGATTTCAACCTCACAAATGCCAGATTTTTATTGACTTTTATTTTTGTGTTTGGTTTGTCCTAGAATATGTAAGATTATGTAAGACTATGTAATATTAACATTAATGTTAATATGTTTAACATACTGATGTATGTTGACATATTTAACATACTGATTAATGTTAACATATTTTAACATGCTAATAAATGTAAACATTTTAACATATTGACCTTCTATCTCCTCGTCCTCATCGGAGGAATAATCCTCGTCAATATTTATCTCGTCCGGATTTGTTGTCTTTGTCATCTCTCCTAACTCCTCCTCCGTCGTGTTACTCCTGGAAAAAAACATACAAAACATTACATTATTATTACTATCATTAATTGTTTACTATCATTATTATGTGTTATTTATATAGTATCATTTTTGTTATCATTATTATCACTTTTAAAATATTATTTATTACCATTATTGTAATACTTAATAATTAATTATTATTACAATTATTATTAATTCTTTTTTATCATTATTACAATTATAATTATCATCATTATTGATACATTATAATTATTACTACAAATATTATTTTTCCTTTTTATTATCATTATTATAATTATTTACAATTCTTAAAGATTACTCTGTTTATGTCTTAAGACAATTAAAGATCTCAAGTAAACAAAAACATTACATATTTTAACCTGCTATTAAATAGCATGAATAATCAACTGACAATACTTGATTCTGATTAATCATTCTGAGAGCAAATAGAAAACTGATAAAGGCATCTAGCCAAATCATATGCAATAAATAATTTCTGAATGTTCATATTTGTATGGCTTGTTTGTTACTTTCATCCTAAAAAACAAACATTCATCAAAAAAAGACACCTTCACATTGTCAGGGTTTATTTTACCTAACTTACAAACATAATTCCCTTGTCAGGTTTATTTTACCTACCTTACAAACATAATTCCCTTGTCAGGGTTTATTTTACCTACCTTACAAACATAATTCCCTTGTCAGGTTTATTAAACATAATTCCCTTGTCAGGTTTATTTTACCTACCTTACAAACATAATTCCCTTGTCAGGGTTTATTTTACCTACCTTACAAACATAATTCCCTTGTCAGGTTTATTTTACCTACCTTACAAACATGACTTTCTTGTCAGGTTTATTTTACCTACCTTACAAACATAATTCCCTTGTCAGGTTTATTTTACCTACCTTACAAACATAATTCCCTTGTCAGGTTTATTTTACCTACCTTACAAACATAATTCCCTTGTCAGGTTTATTTTACCTACCTTACAAACATAATTCCCTTGTCAGGTTTATTTTACCTACCTTACAAACATAATTCCCTTGTCAGGTTTATTTTTATCTTTCATGGCTTCCTCGGCTAACTGTCTAGCTTTCTCTTCTAACTTCTGCATTTCATCACTCGTTTCTGATGTTTCTGTTATAGTATAACATATTAGTTACGTTATGTTATAGTAACTTTATATATTAACATGCTTATTCAATCATATTCAATCATTTTACAATAGTTTTAAAAAGTTTGTAAATAGATAATAAACATAGATATAGAAAAAGCTTTTTTGACAGGTTATATGACCAAGCATAAATGTTTAACAAACAGTCTTTTATACAAAACTAGCCAACTTGTCAAAAGTCTTCAGCAGCCATGGATAATATAGATTATATAAAGATCATGCCTGATCTACATTACAAATGCATTACGAAATACTGTAAAAACCTTCAAAAGAGGCAATACAGCATCTATGGTTACATTTTACTTTTATTCTTAAAACACCAGGAATGATTCTTTACATGGAAATTAACAATTTTCATCATATAAACAAGAACCATATCTAATATAACAATTTTACCTGGATTATCTCCCTTTGTAGTAGCAACCGCTAACATCTGAGCTGACATAAAGTTCACCTGTAACATATCAAGCATTTAGGTTTATATTTAATCTTATGTAAAAAAAATCAATCCATGATTACAATGTACTTATCTATCATAGTTTTTACAGATTTTTATCAAAAACACCTTCATATTAGATAAAGTTCTGTTTGTTTGATTGGGTTTTATATCATACTGACACAGTATAGGTCATATGGAGACATTCCAGCTTTACTGATGGAGGAAGACCTCATGTGCCCTTCCGTTCATTATTTCAGGCACAAACGGGCATCTGAGTAGAACCACCAACTTTCCATACGCCAGCTGGATAAGAATCCAAACTCCCTGTCCGGATTCAAACCCACAGCAGTAAGCGGCAAGTGGTTGGAAGTCAACGACCTTAATCGCTTGGCCACTAACATCCCCAAAGATATGTTACTTCTCTTTTCAGATTTAGAACTACAATGATCAGAATATTATCAGTTATTAATGATTAATAACTGATAATATTCTGATCATTGTAGTTCTAAATAAATAATGAAATTTATACTGAATTCAATTTTTATCACATGACATCCCTTGTTTACCATGTCATATGTCATAGAGCCATTGTGTATTTCTTTTTATGGCAAACATTGAAGTTACAATATTTCGTTGTTTATTAAAGTGCATGCTATATTTTCATTATTTCAAATGCCTCTATGAATCCAATGTTAAAAAGAATCTCAAATTCATTGTCATTTAATATATAAACTTTTATTAAACTCTTTTATAAACTTACCTGTGTATTATACATTGCCTGTACGCTACGTTTTATACGTAACATTTCTCTCACAGTATCTTCATTACCATGTTTTATCTCAAACTCCTTCCATGTCTGCCAGAACGAGGCTGTAGTCTAAAATTATATAACCAGCAATGCATTAAAATTTGGCTACTCATGCTTTGTATTAAGAAGTCATGATCTAAAAATATGTCAAATTGTGTCCAAAATATTATGATGTTATATTAAAGCTACTCTCCCGCACAAAACGGGTGTAAAAACATCAACATACATTATTTCTTTACAGTTATCTATTTTATCATACGAAAAAATGAATAACAAATAGTATAGTTTACACTTTTATTCAATCAACCTTAACATCAAAATGTTCCCAGATAATAAGATTGGAGAAATATGGCCACTTATATAACAGGGAATGCCATAAAGCAACTGTCATATGACGTAAATATTCCATCGGCTGAGAGTTAAAAAGATGTATGCAAATAACTGGCAAACCAACGAGCAAACACTGTGCGAATAGTATATTCAGCAAAACTGTTACGAATAAAGCAAGCTAGACTCACGGGAAAACCAAAGCAAGCGTAACAGAAACAAGGCAAGCTAGGATTGCCAGACTACGTGTCATTTGGGCAAATCCTAGAAACGCAACTTGACTTAAAATATTGAAGTCCTTCTTGGCAAGCGCACAGTACTCCAGGCTTGATATATGACCAAAACTAAAACTATGAATGTCAGGTTATGAAAACTAGTCGTATTTGCCCCGAAACCGACGGGAATGAGGTCATGACGTTATTAATATGTATAGAAGTAAAATTTGCAGTTTTGACAAGTTATCTATGACCTAACGGTTGTTAGGTTTCACTTGAAATATGATAAACATTGTAAAAACTTTACTTATATGTTGTTTTTTTTTGGTCAGACAATACATTTATTAATCATCTAGTTCCATATAAATGTACAAGTCTGTGGTGAAATTTTATTCAAAAATGCCCACATTAAAATGTCTGGGATTTGAGCTTTAATGTCAGTTTCTTTACAATATTATCATACAAATCAATGTTTTATAACATTAAACTTTTCTGTTTAATAGTCAATCTTTGTTTATGGTTTTTCTGCATTTCAGTGTAACATCTCTTATCCTATATAAATCATGTAAGATTAATCTACAGATTATTCAATATATAATTCTATTAACTATCTATGAAATAATAATGTATCTCCACACATGTAAAATAACAATCTTAAATCATCAATGAAAATGTATCAAAATTCTAGAAAATGGTATGATACTTCAAAAGCAGTGAAATAAAAAAATGAATACATGCAGGCAAAAATGGCAGACAATCTGTTCATGAGAAATTACTAAAGAAGTGTTACATCGTCAACACTTAAAAGTAAACAGATTTTCATGAAATGTTTGTCACGTAGAATGTTCCATTATCACTGGAATAAGAACTTACTAGGAAATTTAACTAAAATCTACTGTAAAATATGTAATCTCTACAAGCAGGTGCTTGGGGCATGACTTGTAGCATAGATTAACCTTTACCTTGCCAGAACCATGTGGTGGTATACCTTTGCCACCAGGATAGAGCCAGTCCAGCCTGCACATTTGTACAGTCTGACCATGCTGTATACTGTTGGCAGACTCACTTCAAATTTTCATCTTTATATGCAAAAAATTGATAATGCATAGTTCCAAAAATGAATGCTGGACAAGTCTATTTGACAAATTCAGCATTAAAGGATTAACCACTGCTATTTATCAACAATCTGAATCAATCCCACCTCGCAACAGTGTAACTCAGACTGTCTTTGACAACATTCAAGGTTTTAATTTTTCACTATTAGAACATTAGTGACCCTGACGGATCAAACAATATAATAACACTGTTATGACAAACTATCAAAGAAAAAATCCTTACCCTTGGATCACATATCTGTGAACAGTGAGCATAAATTGCACGTGCACGGTCTATTTCTCCCAACTTTCTCTCTAAATCAGCAAACCTATTACACATCTCCCTGTTTAAATATAACACATATAATTAATAGGACAAATATTCCAATACATTGATAATGTTATTTACTATGGAATCCAATTCATGTACATCATAATTTTATAAAAGGTTTGTCTATGAATAGAAATAATTTTATCACTTTAAAACCAAACTCCTATGGGACCTCAGTAGAGCTCCTTTAATTAAATAGATCACTTTCTGAATCCAGTTCCTGGAACTAACCAGCACTGGTTTCCTATAATGGAAAAATTGTCCTGATACAGTCCATCCTGGTTTGATAACCAGAAGGTGCAAGTCACTTCCTTTGCGATTGATCATGAAATTCTCTGTAGGATCATAAGTACTCCGCTGCTTTGATACCCAGAAGGTGCAGGTGATTGATCATGAAATTCTAATGAGGTTCATTAGTACTGTACCTCTGCTCTGGCATGTACAGACATTATCAATTTCTTGCAAAAGTGAAGGCAACTAGTACTGGTAAACTTCTTGACAGCATGCCCAGGAACAATGCGGTGGTGGAACTTTTTTTGGTGAATTTAACAGAACTTATAGCTGTGAGTCGAAGGGTAAACTACAAAAACCACCAACACCACATGAATAGGGCATGAACCTATTGTCCTGCACATGAGAATCAAAAACCATAAGCACTGGGTGACCACTCCCCTTTTTTGCTTATTTCAATCCAGCATCCAGTAACTTGATTTAAACATAGACTATTACAAAAAGCAAATATTTTAGAGATGAGTACCTGGCCTGATCGTTAGTAAGAACTTCAATAGCTTTCTCATAGATAGGTCTGGTATATGTTACCCCATATAACTCGGCTGCTCTCTTTATATACACATTAAACATCTGTAAATATAACAGTTAATTTACTATAATATCAATCAAAATAAAGACAAAATTTGATTTCAGACAAACTTTCTTGCATATTGGTAAAATTTCTAACATTTGGAGAAATTTCCTACGGTGCAGAAATAAAATTTTAAGCCATTTTATCCATTATAATACAATAATTTAAAATTACAAAAGTATCCTTCAATTTCAGACACCCTCCTTATTAGAACTATTTTATTTGGAGAGATTACCTTTAGTGCAAAAAATGTTGGCTTTTTCAATTCAGAATGTAAGTTATTGATAATGCTCACAGTTTAATTTAATGACAAACATTTTATAATTTAAGGAAAACAACACCAACAAATAATAAAATAATTTAACACCTAACAGTTCATTAGGACAGACATTTACTTAGTAACAAATGTGATTGAAATATCTGAGCCTCTTCACAAACCTGATATATATAGAGGATATTGAATGAGTGTAGCTTTAATACTAAATTTATTGAATGACTTTAATAAAATCATATTATGCGAGTCTCTGGCGAGCATAATATTGTTTTTTTCAACAAGTTCAATATATTTAGTATTGAATCTACACGAATATATTATTCTATTTATGACACATCTAAATATAAGAATGGTAAACTGTTAAAAAGAGTCATTTTTCACTGACGCGCCTATAGTACAGCACTAACATCAGCTCTCTTTTACACTATGCATGTATATAATGCAAATAATATAATGCAAATGATGTCATGTCAAAGTGTTATTACACTAGTGTAATATAGTTTTTATTGAATAGCTTTATTACACTCCTGTGCTGCGGTTATGTGATATAATACTGTTTAAATTATGTTAAGCTTAATCATATGTATGTTAAATAGCTTGGTCAGAACTCAAACTACAGTCAATAGTACTTCCTGGAGTGAGTAGTTCTGGTTTTAGGTGAGGAAACATGAATCTTACTAAAGTAAGGCTTAAATACAATACCAATGGATTAAAAGGGGAGACCGTCATCAACAGGCCACCCTTTTTTTGGAAATTTTCATTTTACTTCATCTATATCACACCTTTTACACTAGTAACATAAGAAATGAGAAACTTTAGATTACCTCATTCTGTTCCTCAGGTAACACAGCTTGTGTAGCTCTATCATACACAGCCATTGCATGTCTCGCCAAACCATACTCTTCCTCCAGTTTAGCATACAGTAAAAATATAGCTGAAAATAATGCATAAATCATGAAATGTTTCTTCCACCATTACCATGCTAAACACCTTAAATGGACTTGCCCGTCATTCAAAATGGACAAAACCATTCTGCATTTTTAGGGAAATATACAAAATATGTACTTACTGAACATCCAACAGTGCAGACAATGATCAGATGGCACTGATGGCTGTGCTTTAATCTGGACAAAACCATTCATCAAATTTAGGTAAAATTTCAAAATATATACAGACTAGTTGAATAGCTAGATCGAGTTGTTGTCAAATGGCTAAGAGTTAAATGTGTATTTTAAATTGGTGCATGCTGGCTGGCTAATGAGTGGTTAGGCATAAATCATTTATTCCATGTCATCAAGTGCCTTACTGCATTTTGTACATTTTGTGATGAAATTTTTTACTTCCAATTGTTATGACCACTAGAAATTATTTTACAACTGCAATATTGAAGGAAAACATGGTTTTATGTTAATTAATCTAGTAAAATCGATCTCCCTAGTCTTTGAATACCTGAACTAAATATTTAAGCTTACCATAACACAATTAGTTTTTCTCTTTCTTACTGAATATAAAGCATTCCTTTTTCTAAAATGTATTTATACTTAACAATAGTGGGTGGGGCATTATTTATATTTTATTGTGTAACTTGATAGAAAACTAAGCTACAATTTTTTCCTTACTATCATGTGATCATCTAGTAACATTTAATTTGTACAAACAGTAGTAACTAGGCTTACCTTTAGCAAATTTTGCAGGACAATTTTCCAAGCACTGCTCAAATAAATCCCTCGCTCTTTCTAACTTCTCTCCACCCTGTACATCAATACAAACAATATTGTTTCACAAAATACTTAATGCACCTTAGTCATTATAGTATAAAATTCATATCAAAATCTATTTATTATAAAACTGTAATTGATTAATACAGGTGTTACAAAGCATCCTTTCACCATATAGATATATAATATCATATTTACAATATAAGATCGCTTCTGAAATACTCAATTATAACTTATTTTAATGAAATAAATTATTAAATTGAATTAAAAAAATACTTGTAACATGTAAGGTTTTATCAAAAGTGAATAAATCTAGCTCTCACATCAATACTTTATACAGTTTTGAATTACTAAATCACAAATCTATAGAACTACAGTGCAACCTGTGTATAGCTGCCCTCTGTAGAGTAGCACTTTACAACAACATTATCATGACTTCATAAAGTAACAATTCACAGAAATGTTTTTTTCTCTAAAAAACAACCAAGTTGTCTGTCTACCAAAGTGTGTTGCTCTACAGAAATAGCACTGTCACACTGTATCTACAACTCTAGTACAACAAATATATATACCATAGAACAATGACACACTTCCAATTAAACTTGAAAAAACATTATAATATTCTAGCTCACATCATTCATATATATGAAATGATAGTGAAATATGTCAAAACAATAACTTTCAACACTCTCAATCTGTTTGAACTGAAAGTGATCAGCCTTTGCCACTAGTCTACAGCTAGGCCAGCATGCACATCTGTGTCATATGACCATAGCCAATGCTGTTTTTAACTCTTTTTTTGTTTAGAATTTTCATATGAGAATATCTTAAAACTTCATTGGACTGTCCCAATTAAAGTGATTACTTACGTATCTGTCTATGAACTTTGTTAAATATGTATTCCACAAATCATATACATTTGGCCATCTAAACAATGCTATTCCCTTCTCATAAGCCTGAAAGTATAACAATTTAATTGTTTAAATTATCACAGATTTTGTCATACACAGAAACAAACAGTTTCAAATTTATCTTTATCCTAAACAAGTTAAGTCTGATGTCAAAATATCAAAAGTACAAGTCTGGTCTGATTTGAGAATAAAATTAATTATCATCTATAAGTATTTCAGTAAATGTACAATGTCAAAAATACGGTAACAAAAATAATAAAAAATGATAAAATTCCTTGTTTTCTCTCAATGCTTATTGTACTATCAAAATCTAATTCTAACACTGTATGAAAGATTTAGTAAATAAACATGCAAGTTTCTCATAACTATCAATCTATAATTAGATGTTTGTTTGGCATGTAAGATTGAAATATATTTCACCGAGTTGAACACCAAATGTAATTTAATCTTACATTCAAACAAACAATTTACAATTCTTTTTTTATTTCAATATCGATCAATGAATAACAAAATTATAACCAGGACAAAAAACAGACAAACAGAAAGATGAATAAACAAATTAAAAATTATATTCATTCCTCCAAGAGCATAAACAAATGACCATCTTGAATTGTTCTAGATCAGTTCTCAGGCTTGAGGCTAAAAGGTTGGTTTAAAAAATTGGCATTACTGTCATGAAGGTATGTAATAATATTACAAAACAAGGTAATAATGACTGCAAGAAGGTTACAACAACAGATATAACAAATATGTAACTATACCTTAAAAGCTTCTTCAAAGTAATTGTTTTCCTCTAGGAACAGACCATAGTTCATAACAATCTGTGGTGTTGCTATACGTAGATCTATTATCCTGTCATATACAGCCTTACATGTCTGAAATTATACACAGTTTCAAATAACCATGTATCCTGCTAAATAGAGGATATTGAATGAGAGTAAGTTCAATACTGAATTTATTGAACAAGTTGTATTAAGTTATAATATGCAAGCCTCCGGCGAGCATAATATCATTTTATTCAACAAGTTCAATAAATTCAGTATTAAACTTACACGAATATAATATATATATATATAATATAGAATATAATATTATTTTTATCACATACCCAAAATAAAAAGTTTTTTTAAGTGAAATTTTTTTTTTTTCAATGATGCACCTATATATATATATATATGGACTTAACATGCTTTGAATTTTTTTAAACCATATTATATGCAATTGGTTTAAAGAATATCAAAATCCAAATGTTCAATTTGAGAAGCTACAGAAAGAAAGGGATTTTTTTAAATTGTTCTTAAACAGAAAATTTACCATTACCATGATAAAGTCAGCACTGTTAACAGGATGATCTTGGTCAGCACTTGTTACATGGTAAATTCAATCGCAGCAAGCAGGTGAAGAGTTAAAATATTTTATATAGCAGAGAATGATGTGCAAATTGTCTATGCTATTTAGGCATAGGCATGTCACTAAAGTCAAAATAATATAATAAATAGTATAATATAAGGATAAATTATATAATATATGACAGAGTTCCTTACCTTAAATGTACCAAAACTTTCTTCTAGATCAGCATACAATGACCACACCTTCAGTGATTTATGAACTCTTGACTGAACAGTCTCTGTCTGTAAAAACAATACAAATATAAAGAATATCTCATACTTGGTATTCAAGTGTACATTATGAAAAAAACTCATCAGTATTTTTCTTTATATAATTACTTCAATGATTGAAATTCTGTGCACCTCTCACTTTAATCCACCTACAATAATCTTACGTAAGAATCAACAGCATTTTGTTATATTTATCAAGACTTGTCGGGACAGTATACCGTATTTGACATTTCTCAGTCAGGTCTTAACAGTTACACAAGTTCAAAAAGGGCCATAGTACTGTCAAATTCCACATTACAGTTAATATGGGCCTTGACCAGTGACCTCCTATTATGCTCTGAAAAATGTGTGTGTTCAGTTTCAACAGATTTTCTTCAGTAGTTTTGAAGACACCAACTAGCACTAAAAAATTTCATCAAAGTGTGACAGCCATGCTGAGGCCTTGATGAGTATTATAGCGGTCATTACTCGTCCACTAGTCAAGCTTAAAATGAAAACATTCTGTTTATTTTAATTTCACATATAGTCACAACAAGCCAGTATTTCCAGTTAAGTTAATTTCTATTTGTAGTTGGTCACACATACAATAAATATCTAACATATTAAGCTTTGCATAGCATTTGTAGGAACACAAACAGTCATCAAATAGCATATTAGAACTGCGATTAAATAAATGAAAAGATTGTACGATGTGCTCACTTCATCATGATAGGAAATTTTTCTAGGGGGAGGTGTTGTTGCTTTCTGCATTATTTTGAGGGCGTCATCATAGTTCCTGTAAATAATTAAAACATCCAATCATACTGTTATTTAAACGCTACTCTAAACCCACAGATAGTCTATATCAAGTTAAAAGGAATAAGATTTCTGTATTTATTAATCATTTATGGTTTAAATATCTAAAACAGGGCATTATCATCCTGTCAAAATAATCTAATTAAAGAAAGAAACTCTTAACTGCAAATAAGAAATCAATACATATTTAAACCTAAACCTGTTGCACTTTTATAATAAATTTGCCCTATAGGAAAAGTCCTTTCTAACTGCAATGTACATTTGTATTTCAACAACACACACTGTAATACATTACAGATAAAGGCAGCAAATACATTGAAATAATTGTTTTAGGGTAATATAGACTTCAGGAAACTTGTTAACTTACTCATGTTTGATTTCCATTTCTGCCCATTCACAATATACTGAGGCTAAATCATCCACATGCTTGTATGGCACTTTTATAGCTTTGTCAAATATAATTCTTGCCTGTAAATACACCATTCTTTTGAATTATTATCATGTTAAACATGTTTATATAACAGTCATTATCTACCTTCTAACTTTCATCTTTGCTGTTTTTAAAACAATATTGATATTAAAGATTTATTTTAAAAAAATTAACAAATTACAAAAAAAACCATATCTGAGATAAACCTAGGCAATATGTTTAACAACAGGGGTCATTTATGTCAAGATTTCAATGTCAAAAAAATTATTTCATAATTGGTAAAAAGACCAACAGGAGTCTATGAAACTGTGAGCCTGAATATTCTCAGTGGTTGGTACTGGTGCAAGAAAGATCAGGTCTATTGGAAAAAAACTGAAAAAAATAGAGGCTTAATTATATTAAGAAATATATGACACAGTTCTGTACTTTTTCTGAAAGTGGTGATGTTCATAATGAAGTATTCCAACTTTCACATCAATATCTAATTGGGCTCAGTGATAAAAGATAGAGTTGTTTGAGAACTGAACCAATGTGTATAATTATAGAGGATGCACATGCTTAAACCATGTGTATGAAGGATCTCTCTCAAGTAAATAAAAATCTCTCTTTGTACCAAAAGTAAAGACATAAAATTATCAATCTGTTTTTAAAGGGAACAGCTTAACAAGTTTTATTCAACTATGATAATATCAAATTAAAGCAATAATGTATGATAACTTACATCTTCAATCTGATCAGCTGACTCATAAAACTTGGCAAACTCACACCAGAGTGTATGAGGTTTACCAGAAGCTATTTTAGGATCTACAGTTTGTACAGCTTCCGTGTAGGTGGTTATTATCTGAAAATATTTCATATAATATGTTTAATGAATGATTAAATTTTGTATCAAAAGGGTTGCTTCTGCTTGTTTATTTAAAGTAACTACATTTCACAAAAAATAAATGCAGGGATCATTCTAGGGGGCGATTTCCGCGATTTCTCGCAAAAAAATCACCAAAATCTCAGAGAAATCTGTGAAATGAGAGAAAATCTCGCACGGCAATTTGAGCTGGAAAATGTCTAAACACAATCTAAGGAATGCTAAAATTACACAAAAATGTGATGAAAAATTCACGATTCCCATCAAAAATTTAATTTCAAATTGTTTATAAATGAAATCGGTGGAAAAAACTCCAAAAAGTAGTCCAACACTTTGAATTATTTAACCTAAAATAATTGCCGATCGGAGACCGCAAATTCACCGTACAGAAATACGGTATGATGGCTAACCTTTATCTATCTGTAAGTCGAGAATTTACACAAAACACTTCTAATTGATTTTAATAAAAATTGTTAGACACAGACTAACATAAAAATGGACATGTCAAAAATAAATCTACGGGTAAAATTTGTCTTCTAAATGTCACATCAACCACGGTAAATTTTGCCGTAAAGAACAAATTTAAAAATTTTGTTTTACGATTCCTGATGAAATAGCCGATAATAAATGTTCTTTTATTGAACAAAAATATTTAATTTTATATAATTGCAATCAGCAACAGCTAGAATTGTGAATGTTTCAGCGGAAAACAGACAAATATTCATTTGTCACATATTTTCGCGATGTCGTGATTAAAAAAAATTCTAAAAGGAAGCCGAGTGTTATTCAAAGGTGATTTATAACACTATAAATGATGTTTATGAATAAAAATTACTTTAGTTATTGTTTATATTTTTGGATATGGAGATATTTGTCATTATGTGTTCACATATTCAATGAATATTTTTTAATGGAGGGAGGTGTGTGAAGAGAATCATAAAGAAAAAAAAAGAAAGGTTATAAAAATATTCTTCAAATCTCAACAATCACTTCTGTACAGTACAGTGTTGTCCATTAGGAACATTGGCTGCAAATAATAGTTGTAGTAGATATCCATGTATAATTCTTTTATATTTCAGAATAAATGTGTTACATTTATTTTTCACAATTAGAATTTTATTATGTTTAAAAAATCACAAAAGAAAAGGCATAGGATGTGTTAAAAAAGTGAAAACAAAAATCACTGTAATAAACAGAGCTAGTCATCTTCTTATATCCTCATTAGATAAACAATGTTTATATGTACAGTGATTTTTAAAAAGTTAGAAATTTCCATATTTTTAACCTCGCCCATCTCTCAAGAAAATCTAATTTCTCTCATTAAAATTTCTCAAATGAGAGAAAATCTCTCACTAAAAATCCTGACCAGAATGATCCCTGAAATGCTATGGTGTTTTGTTTCTGTCATATAATTGTATGAATATATAATGGTCAACTTATATGGCCCTTGGCAAATATTGTAATCTGGGAATACAAAAATTGTAAATGAATGCTTGAGTCAATAATTCTTTAACTTATTAGCATCAACACTGTACAGTTTATATGGCAACTTTCCAGAATTACTGGTGTAGGAAGACCTCCGTGCCCCTCCATGAATTATTTCAGGTAAAAGTGGGTACTCGATTAGCACCACCAATGTTCCATAAGCTAGCTGGATAGCTTCCTCCATAAAAGAATTCAAAGTCCCTGGCGAGATTCAAACCCACAGTAATGAGGGGCAAGTGGTTTGAAGTCAACGAGATACTCTAATACTAACCCTATGAATCATACAAGACAAATTTATACCACTTGTGATCTATATGTATATTATACCTCTCTAGGTTTCCCTTCGTACAGTTTTACTCGCTTGTGCCATTCATGTACATTATGAGGATTCTGCCGTAACAACACACTGTAACATACCACACACAAAAATGTTACTAAAATATATCTTTATATTAAATTCAACTAATATTTGTTCATCTACAACATCTATTTTTTCCTCTCAGAGATAAATGACAATAGTTTTGCAATTATTTTCAAACCACTGATAAAAAATCTAAAAACCAGACAAATTATCAAATTTTGACAAAGTATTTAGCATACCGGGTAATATTGTCTGGTTTTTGTTTTGAAGAACATCCTAAATTTCACTTATTACTGAGACTGCAAAATACAGTCATAGTATTTACAACAATAGCTGAACAACAATACTTCTTTTTTAACTCTATGATACTGTTTTAAACAACACAGGCAATCAGTGTAAGTTTACAACTCTGGCCATCAGTTTAAAGTTTGCCTTTTATTAAAGATTTCTCTCCAACTCCTCAAAACTGTAATGGCTACCTGTTAAGAAGTAATGGTCGTCTATCCATCAAAGATTCAAGTCTTGCCAGTCTTAACTCCAAGTCCAGATCATCTGTCAATAAAATAAACATTGTCTTACAAACATGCTGAATATTAATGCTCTAAAAGTCAAGTTTGATACAAGACAAATGCAACCAAAGTACCAACTACATAATTGAAGTTTATATTTGAGAAACATGTTCGATTGACAACTTTTAAAGTGACACTATCCCCATCCAAGGGTATATAGTGACTGAAAAGGTGAAATCTGCATTTTAATAACCAATCTTTTGAAATATATAAGTCAATTTTGCTTGACAATGGAAAATGAGCATAATGTCCCTCTAATGATTAACATAACGATTTTCGAAAACTTGTAATTTGTAATGCCAGTCATTTTTGTTTATCATTCCATTAGTTAACTCCTTCACATAAGGTGCTATTGCCCCTAATCCCAACTGTTTCTACAAGGACCTCCACTTGATTTAATTGAAACTGGTTGCAATCAGTCAATTTTAGACATAGGCAATGAGTGCATACCAATTATTTGCTTTTTAACCTCAGGCTACTACATGTAGAATGTTATATTACCCTCTACAATAGTTAAAGACTAATGGAGATAGAATAGATTGAACACAAAGTCTGAGTGGTTTAAATTTACAGATCTACCGTTTCTGTCCTCCCTGACCGCCATCAAAGTTTTTGACATGAAAAATTAACAACACATGACAGATCCTACATGTAATCATATAATTATCTAAATCAAAGTTTACAGTTGAGGATGTAAGCAAAAATCATCGTTTGATAACTTACCTTCTTCAGTGGGACCTTCTTCCTCCATGGACTCCATTTTAGCACTGATGAGATTTTTCTCAAATTGAGCGTATGCATCGAACACTTGTGTAAAATCTCTAACTGTTATAACAGTTTGTACAGCCTCTTCATATATATCCCTAGCCTGAATTAAAATAAACCAACACCTTAGCAATGTCTATGTGCATTTTTGTCCCTAGCAATAACTTAATGCTTACTATAAATTCATATTTTCCCCCTTTTATGATAAGTTTATAGATGCTATAAATTTACATTTTTCCCCATACTGTAATTTGCTCCTGACAAGCATTTTCCTTATGTTCACCAAGTATGACAAGGATCTTTGATAAAGAGATCAGTTTCATGTACACCATGCATTTCATGGTTGTATCAAATAAATTTTAAATCCCTTCATGGGTGTATAAGACATGCTCTGGACAAAACTTTGTACTGCCTGCCTCTCAGCCAATAAAACATTAAAATAACACCCAAAAGACACAGGTTTGCCTTTCCTTCAAAGGTAAAATCATATTCATTTCTTAATGTGCTTAATTGCTTAATGTGTCTTTTATCATATAAATAACCAACGATGTAGACATACCCTTTCAAAGTGTCCACCACGTATGTAATAATCAGCAAGGGAATTCCAGAGTACACCTATCTGATCTGTATATCTCTTCAAACCTTGTCTTATGATAGGCTCAATGTTCATTGTTGTTACTTTGTCCGGATTCTTGGCTATCAAATCACATAACTCGTTCCATAACTACAATAAATATATAACATTATAAAACAGTATGAAAATGATAATGTTCAAATAAAATACTTTAGAAAGAATCAATTATGTATGTATCTAATAAATTTAATCTTCCTTTTATTTGGATACCAACATACTAAAAATGAAACTTTCAATGTACAATTTGTTTTCTTGATATTTGTACGCAGACTTTTAAAACAAATTTTTGGTCAAATTTTGGTGGTCAATCCACTTAATTGCCTGCCATTGGTACCAGTAATTATTAATTTCTCCGTAAAGGACTGACAATAACTTTCACATTATTTCTGCATCGACATTGAGAAACAAATTACAATCAGACTCAATGTTCAATGGACCTTTCCGGTTTTTCGTAGCGGAACATTTAGCCACACCTTTTCCATTCATTGCTAGGTCAACTGCTCACAAACAGTATCACAAACATAACCATGTGTTCTTCTGTGCAAAACAGGTCAACCAGTGACAATGTATTATCTCAGTGTAGCAATTGGATAACAAGTTAGTCAATTTACATAAAGATTTTTTTTTTCAGAAAGAAAGGAAAAATATATACTTTTTTGAGGGAACTGCGGCTGAATTCAAGCCCTCAAATGACTTAAATGGGTCTTAAAAAAGACCTAAAATAAGTTACACATAACAATGTTCTATACCTGATGTTTTGATTTTCCTTCTTTAGACACAAAACCATCATCATTGATGGCATCGGCCAATCGTTGAGCAGCTTCATCAAGCCAGCCAATAGATTTCAAGTATTCTATATATTCTTCTGCATTCTCCTTACTCAACTGTACATAGAACAAATATATCAATCAAGTGTAAAATAATGGTTTTACCTCAATTATAGGTACAGTATATTAAACTGAATTGGTCCATCATGTAATACCATGAATAATTCTGTTGATAGTATTTAAAATTATGATCTGTGACAACACACCATGAAAGAAAAGATGTTATCATCATTAAATAAACCTTAAACATTATCAACATTATCCTGTGTTGATTGTTTGTTCCACTTGTATCATCATTTTTCTAAGAATAAATGTTGTTATTTAGTAAGAGTTACATGATCTAATATTACATATCTATATAATTATAACAAATGAAAAGTTGCACTAGAAAAAAATATCATTATTCAACATATTAAATAATTGATCATACTAAATGGGATTATCCCTAAGAACTTCATCAACATATTGTCATCAGGAAATATTCTATAAGAATATCCAAATGATTCATTTCTATTGTTTTTGTCAATATTTGAAATACTAATTTGATCATGTGGAAATTTTAAACCATTTTACTTCAATAGATTCTAGAAATAATTGTTCTATTCCCCATGTCTTGTTTCTTTAATTACTTATTAGATATACAGATTATTAATAAAAATATTATATAATATAGTCTAAGGTGACAGTTTTTGGCTTCAATGTGTTACTTCTTCCACTACGAGTATAAAAGTCATTTCATAGATAAAGGATATTATATGAGTGTAGATAACATTTTGAATTTATCAAGCAAAATGGTTACAATAGTATGAAGCAAGCCTCTGGAGAGTTCAGTAAATAAAATACAGAATTTTTATTTTATATACTATTTATTATACAGGGTAATTTAAATATATAAATATAGTATTTAAAATACAGGGTAAAATGCTGAAAGTTGGATATATTTTATAAGGTGTAAAATAAATATGTATGTGTGAACCTGGTAGGTTCTTTTCTCTATGTATTCAAAAACATAAAAATTATTTTTAAATAAAACAGAAAGAACATGACAATATCAACACAACATCTATCAAGATGAATCAATACATTTACCTTTAGATATCTTCTATACACTCTCACAGCTGTTTCTTTAAGATCATGCATGCGGACAAACTTGAGATACAAGGGCCAGATCCTGTGATGTTGTGTTATAGGCAATGCTCTAAGAGCACGGTCAAAAGTTTGCCTCGTTCTGGTGATCAAACCCTGGTTCATTAACAGTTCACAGTAGTCTAACCAAATCCGAGGCATCTGAGAGAAAAAACAACTATGTTTGTTTGTCAAATGTATCATAATATAGTACAGGTTCTTAACCTTCTTTCAGATTAACAACTCTTGATCACAACATAAAAAATCTGGAATAGTAAAATAATAGTTAATTAACAATGTAAGTCTTTTTATTAATGAAACAAGAGCTGTCGGTAGGACAGCAACGCTCGACTATTCTTAGTGCTTGATAGTAAAAAAAGCCTTGATTAGGTAAAATTTTCTAAGTAAAGAAAAAGGCAAATTTTTTCTTTAAATCCATATTACAGTTATAGGCCTTGGAGAGGGTCCTATTATGCTCTTAAAGAAGAGTATAAAATTTCAATATGTTTCAAAGCCTTATGTCAATGAACTTTGAAAATATTTGAGGTTTTACAAAAACTTTAACGTAAATTCTAAGTCAAAAAAGGGGCATAATTCTGTCAAAATGCTTGATAGAGTTACCTTCTCCTGTCTACATGTTGGGGTCATGATGGTGAACAAGTGTGCAAAGTTTCAAAGCCATATGTCAATGGACTTTGAAAATATTTGAGGTATTACAAAAACTTTAACATAAGTGGTTACGCAGACGACTACGCTCGGGTGACTACAATAGCTCTACTTATTCTTATCGAATAGTCGAGCTAACAAGAGCTGTCAGTAGGACAGCAACGCTCGACTATTCTTAGTGCTTGATAGTAAAAAAAATGCTTGATACAGTTACCTCCTCCTGTTTACAGGTTGGGGTCATGATGGTGAACAAGTGTGCAAAGTTTCAAAGCCATATGTCAATGGACTTTGAAAATATTTGAAATATTACAAAAACTTTAACATAAATTCTAAGTCGCAAAAAGGGGCATAATTCTGTCAAAATGCTTGATAGAGTTACCTCCTCCTGTTTACAGGTTTGGGTCATGATGTTGAACAAGTGTGCAAAGTTTCAAAGCCATATGTCAATGGACTTTGAAAATATTTGAACTATTACAAAAACTTTAACGTAAATTCTAAGTCGAAAAAGGGGCATAATTCTGTCAAAATGCTTGATAGAGTTACCTCCTCCTGTTTACAGGTTGGGGTCATGATGTTGAACAAGTGTGAAAAGTTTCAAAGCCATATGTCAATGGACTTTGAAAATATTTGAACTATTACAAAAACTTTAACGTAAATTCTAAGTCGAAAAAGGGGCATAATTCTGTCAAAATGCTTGATAGAGTTACCTCCTCCTGTCTACAGGCTGGGGTCATGATGGTGAACAAGTGTGCAAAGTTTCAAAGCCATATGTCAATGGACTTTGAAAATATTTGAACTATTACAAAAACTTTAACATAAATTCTAAGTCGAAAAAGGGGCATAATTCTGTCAAAATGCTTGATAGAGTTACCTCCTCCTGTCTACAGGTTAGGGTCATGATGGTGAACAAGTGTGCAAAGTTTCAAAGCAATATGTCAATGGACTTTGAAAATATTTGAACTATTACAAAAACTTTAACATAAGTGGTTACGCCGACGCCGACGCTCGGGTGACTGCAATAGCTCTACTTATTCTTATCGAATAGTCGAGCTAAAAATCATGCTAATGAAATCATGAAACTACAATAAAATGGTTAAAGCAGCACGCCTCCAGATTCATGTTAAATTTCATGATAATTTTGATAATGTATTTGGCAGTAAAATATTGTGAGGTGAACAAATAAAGTTATTTACATATTGAAATTGGCACTTACAATCCATGCAAATAACCAAAAAGAGGTCAAAATGTGCAAAAAAGCCCTTATTGCGTTAGTAACGCAGTAGAAATATGGTGATAAAATACTGCAAAATCAGTCTTAAATAGCAAATAACATGTAAACTTTAACATTGATCTTGATTGTTTTTACCTTTCTTGAAATATTAGTACATTTTTCTCAATTTTCATTTCCTTGAGATATTTTGCCTCATCTGGAGGCGTGCAGCTTAAAATATCAAACAAGAAATAGCCACTTTCAACTACTTCTAAACATTTCTCTGACACAGAAAATAGACAATAATGCTTGCTACACACTAAAATACGAACATCAAAAAAATAACATGTCTATTTCCCTTAGAGTTATACCACTTATTTCAAGAGGCGTTAAAAAAGTCTTAAATTTTTGTTGTATTTTACTCTAGCATCTTGGGTCATATTTTTTCTGGTTTATGATATTCTTCATCAACCAATGTAACATAGATTTATGATATAAATATATATTCTGATATGTGGTTTGTCCATCCTACTTAATTCAACCGAGTTATCATCAAATTTGTTATATCGTTCCTCTGCTGATGCAAAATTTCTCCAGACAAATTTATCTAACACACTTTTTCTAATGGTCACTTTATTTCACAGCTGAGTCAGAAATAATGCGAAATTAGTTGACAGTAAATTGCACAGAAATTATTTATTCCTTGTTAGTTTTCAGGTAAACTGGTTAGGTGGAAAGACTGCCAAGATAAATATCAGCATAATAACCAAACAAAGAATTCTGGTATATTCTTACCTTATGCATAAAGACAAGTGACCTCTCATGTGCACTATTAACATCTTCATATGCTGGTTCTGTGATACATTTACCTCGCACTTGTTGCCTCCGTAACTTTAAATAACTGTACCATAACTTGTAACTAGTATATAATAAAAATATAATATAATTAAATCTCTGATTTAGTAAATGATCATTTACACATCTGAAAGTACTTCTAGAATATATGAAAACAGGCACAATGTATAGATCTAACAGTAAATAAAATCAAAAATTAAGTAAAACAATGTCATTAGGCAAATGTAATGTCAAATTAGCCAAACCCTACAAAGTAATATGTATTTTCAAACTAAAACCAGAGCTGTTAATAGGACTGTTCATAATGGACAGTTTTATTAAATAACTGATTTTAAGTTGGTTCTAAAATAAACATTCCCTTCTTATTAATATGTTACATGCCAGAGGCTATTCTCAAGTGCTTATTCCAATGTTCTTACTTACCTTCCAGGCAATTCTTTCAAAGCTCTTTCATAGATAACATTCAATGCAGATGCTCCAGAATCTTTCTTGTGTTCTATATACCTCAGCCAACATTTCACAGTGAAAGGATTTCTCAGAATGTCTTCTTCAAATGGCAGATCATCCTCCTCCTGTAAGAAATAAATCTTAAGTTTTATCTCTTTGTAATTGAAAGATATTTCAAATGGCTTTCCTTTCCAGTCCTGAAAATAAAGTCTTGAGAATACGACAGAAGGAACAAGTCAGCTCCATACTGGTAAGCTCCATATTGATATTGCTTTGTGTTCATAAAACTATCATAGAACTTTCTACCTCACAAATGATGAAAAAAAAATCATATTGATTGTTACCTTTTCTGTCAACATAGCTTAAAGCCTTAAAGGTTGTAGGACTACTAGGAGATCTCTAGTTCACAGCTGTTTAAGAATTCAGTTGAAGAAAACTTCTGCACAAACATAATACCATTAACAACTACTTAGGAGATGTCATTGCATACATATATCTATACTCTAATGATCGAGACCAAGTTTTTAAAAATATATAGAGATTTGGCTGAGTTTAGGCATTGAATGTAAACTTGGGTAGAGTCAAAGCACTGGAAGGAGGTAGGAGTTGCTACCCATGTATAGCTAATACTATAGAGTTATAATGAAAATTGTGTAACAGTGTCATATTATTGTAGTTATGAATACTTAAATGTGGAAATTGACTTCAAATAATACAGGGAAGTCACAGCCCGGGACTGCTTCGCTTAACATGCCCAACTTTAGACTACATACATGTGTATATTTAAAAGGAAACTAAATTAAAAAATAAATAAGCATATATAGAATTCTATACCTATTAGTGATTTTTTCAGTATCGTTTTATGTTGGCGGCCGTAACACAATAATAAACAGCAATTATTCCAATAATGGACCAATCACAACTTTTCGACTAACAAGTTTACAATAACAGCCGAGGCATTCTGATTGAAAACAGAAACATTATTTGGGTCCCGGGTCCCTGTTCTATTATGGTTCCCATCCAAGATGACGTGCGATGGGAACCAGCCTAAACGGCAGTAGTGCATCAAATACCTAATGCTTCTTTTAAAATGGAAAATGTAAACTAAAAATCATGGACTAAATATAAGATGGAGAAGTAACTGTGAAGTCACACAGTTAAAATCAGTATCAGCGGAATTGTGTTCATGCAAGTTATCATATGTCGCGAGATTTTGCAAGATGTGATGCATCCTGGGTAAAAGTAGCCAAAATACCGTCATATTGAATTCCCGGAGGTACATCAACAAAAAATATCAAACATTTTTTACAAGAAGCAATAGCCATTTATTCTAAAACGTACAAAACACACTTTTCCACACAAATATTTCTCCGATGAAAATCCATGTTGGCAATGTAAGCATAATTCCAGATATAGCTAAGTTTAACGATAGCGTGAAAATCGGAGACTAGCGGGATAGCCCGATTATCACCGAAGCTCGCAAAGGATTGTGGGTCTGTTTTGTTTATATATCTGTGTAAAAATGAACGATATTTTTTTACTTCCCCGTTCATAGGCTTTGCCTATTTTTTGTTATATGGGAAAGTCAAAGTCCGGGCCCGCTGGGCTTTGGCTTGCCCGGCTATAGACTACAAGTGTATATTAAAAAGAAAATTAAATAAAAATACAATTAAAAAATATATAGAATTCTATACCTATCAATGAAATTTTCAGTGTCAGTTCTAGTTAGGCGCCGCCATTTACAATGTAACTCAATGATAAAAGGCGGTGTATTCTGATAACAAATCTCAACTTTTCGGATTAATAATTCTTAAAATCGTCAAGTGTTCCGAGTGAAAACGGAAGCGGGTACATATAATACCGAATGACACCTTTAAAACGGAAAAATGATAGGATTTTTTTACTGACTTCCCCGTTCATAGCGAGCTCAAAGGACCTGCTCGCAAAGCGAGCTTTACGGTAACGCGAGTACAGGCTAGATAGTGATGGTTTTGAAAACTTTCGTCCGAAGTACCTAAGTGACACATCGCAACTTTTCGAATTACAAGATAACGATAAAAGCCGAGGTATTCTGATTGAAAACGGAAGCGTAGACTGGTGTCCTGCGCATTTATATGGGAACCATAATAGGAAAGGGAACCAGAATAAGCGGAAACAGTATATAAAATACCAAATGACAATTTTAAAACAGAAAATGTAAAATAAAAATGAACAATTATTTTATACTATTTCGCAGTACAGTAAAAGAAAATGGAGCTCGCTTTGAGGCTTTGCCTTTTTCATAATTTAGGCTTTGCCTAATTTCATATTATTATTTTTGGGGGTTGTAACAGGGACTGGCAAGGAGGAAGTTGGGAGGGGGTAGCGATAGGGGATGTGAACTGAAAACTATAGCTTGCATGTTTTGAAAAATGAATATGTGTTTACACTTGCACTAAGCAGCTAACAGGCTTACTTTACTATACTTAATCCAGCGTAGGGTCGCGAGATCAGAAATCTCTTATAACCCCCTTGAGGTCTGACACCCAGTGATTATTATCCGGTATAACAGTATATAACTTGTTTTTCATAACCTTATCGAGTCTGTTTTTTAGCGAATTCAGCGTTGGTGAACATACTACAGTATCTGGTAATTTATTCCATTCTGGTATTACTCTTAATGAGAAAAAATGTTTTCTTATTTCCTTTTTACATGATTTTATTTTCAACTTCATGGAATTTCCTCTGATGTGATGGTTATCAAGTTGTGCTTTTTCAAAAAATACATTGTAATCTATATCTTCCTTCCCATTTAATAATTTCCATACTTGTATGATATCACCTCTAAATCTTCTGTAAGCCAACGTAGGAATTTCCAGAATTTTTAATCTTTCTACATACGATAAATTTCTGATACATTGAACCATTTTTGTTGCTCTTTTTTGAACTCTTTCGACTGCTTCAATATCTTTTTTAAATCTTGGACTCCAAATAATATTTCCATATTCAAGATGTGGTCTTATCAGTGTTTTATAAAGTTTACGAAATTGTTTTATATTGACATGTAAGAAGGTATTTCTAACCAATCCAGTTATTTTATTTGCTTTATTAATACAATTACTTATGTGATGTCGAAATTTCAAATCCTTATCATATAATATACCTAAATCTCTTTCTTCCTCACTAGATCTCAATTGTTTAGTTGTAAATTCACTTTTCATAAAATATTGATGTTCCGTGTTATTGTGTCCATAATGAATAACACAGCATTTGTCTACATTAAATTGCATTAACCACTTTTCACTCCATTGTATTAAACTATCATTGTCATTTTGTATTTGGTTAAAGTCTTCATTTACATTTGCCAGGTTAAATAATTTTGTGTCATCTGCAAAGAGACGCAAGGTACTTTTAATTTGACTTTCAATGTCATTAATGAATATAAGAAACAATATTGGTCCTAAAACACTTCCCTGTGGAACACCACTTGTTACACTACAATAGTCAGATTTACTATTATTAACAACAACACACTGAGTTCTGTTTGTAAGGAATGCTTTGATCCATGATAAAAGTGCACCACCAATACCATAAGATTGCAATTTAAGTATTAGTCTAGAATGTGGAACCATATCAAATGCTTTTTTAAAATCATAATACAAACAATCAAAATTTTTTCCTTCATCTAACCAATCTGTCCACTTTTCCATTACTTCTAGTAACTGAAGGGCACATGATCTAAGCGATCTAAATCCATATTGGGCTGCAGAGAAAAAGTTGTTAACATTCATATAATCTACAATATTATTCCTTACTACCTTTTCCAATAATTTACAGGGTATACATGTCAAACTAATTGGTCTATTATTTCCTGGTGAATCTTTACTTCCTTTTTTAAATAAGGCTTTGATATTCGCAGTCTTCCAATCCATAGGCAATATTCCAGTTTCTACAGATTCAGTAAAAAATATAAGTGTTAAAGGAGAAACAATTGATGTTCTCAATTCTTTTAAAACCCTTGGGTGAAGCAAATCTGGACCACAAGATTTATTAACATTTAAATTCTCAAGTAGCTTAGTCAATACTTCTCCACTGAAATAAATGTCATTTAATGTATTTCCACCACTGTGATTTGTAACATCTGGAAGATTGTTGTTATCTTCAATTTGAAATACACTTTTAAAGAATTTATTAAGTTCATTAGCCTTATCTAGGTCACTTTCAGTATAAGCACCATTTTCACATTTTAAATGAGAAATACCACTTTTTACTTTTTTCTTGGAGTTTGCATATTTATAAAAAGCTTTTTGATTATCTTCTTCTGATATTTTCTTTTCAAAATCTGACCTTGCTTTTCTACATTCCTTTGTTGCAATATTTCTATTGTTACAATAGTTCAAATAGTATCTAAGTTCTTTTGTTTGTTGATATCTATTCCATGATTTATGTTTTTTCTTTACAGCTTTCAAGGCTGTATTTGTCATCCACAAGGGCCTCCGTTTATTGAACACATGTTTAAAATTTCTTTTAGGTATGTGTTTATTTACATTATTTTGAATTTTTTCTTTAAAAATTAACCATTTATCCTCCAGACTTTTGTGCTGAAATTCAATACTCCAATCGATTGAACTCATTTCAAAATTTATGGAAGCGTAATCACCTCTATCATACATAAAGTTCAATTTATTTGGTTCTTCAATTTGCTCTACATTACATATAATATTAAAAGTCAACAGTATATGATCACTTTTACCAACTGGTGGAAAGTGTTCCAATTTTTCAATTAAAAGCTCTTCATTAGTAAATATGAGGTCCAAGGTGCTAGGATTCTGGCCATTTTGAAATCTTGTGTGAAAATTCACTATTTGATATAAAAAACTATCACGTACTGCTTCGATGAATTCATGACTACTATGATTCTCAGGCATATTAGAAATCCAATTGATCCAATCAATCTCACGATAATTAAAGTCACCCATCACAACTATTCTACTGTGAAAACTGTCTTTTATACAGCTAAACATAGTATTTAATTCTTTGTTATTTATATCACATGAATTTGGAGATCTACTGTATATACTATACCAATTAAGATGTTTTCATGTTAATTAATTTCAACTTCACACCATAATGCTTCTTTACAAGAAATGCTATTTAGTCTTTCATAGAGAGATGCCCCTATACCTAAGCGAATAAATAATAAGGTTCCTCTGTTACCTTTGTCAGTAAATTTAGGATTGCAAAATAACTGATATCCTTTAATATTATAACTCAACAAGTCAATAACATCTGCTGTTTTAGAAAAAGCTTCCGTTAATCCAATAACATCTGGCTGATGTATAAACACAAGAGCTTCCATTTCTGTCCATTTATTAGCTATACTGTTATTTTATATTATTTTTACAAACTTTAGATAAGCATGCTCCATACAAGCAGAAACGAGTAAAACATAGAAACCAAGCTGATTGGTTTAATGATGATATAGCTGATGCAATACAAAAAAGGAACTATGCAAAAAAGAAAAATAATATTCATGACTTCAAATACTGGAAATCACAAGTAAAAACATTAACACATAAAGCAAAAACAGATTTCTTTGAACAAGAAATAAACTCAAACAAGAAAAACCCTAGAAAATTATGGAAAAACTTAAAAATTCAATCTGGCAAAACAGAAAATCATCAAACAAACTACATAAATGATGAGAATGGTTCACCAATAACTGACCCAAAATCAACAGCAGAAACTTTTAACAACTTTTTTGCAAATATATTTAAAAAGGCTGAAAACATTAATGAATTATTGGATTCTATGAAAACCGCTTTAAATGATTCTCTGAAATCTGACACTCTAAATCATTCTAATAAATTCAAAATACCCTTTGTTGAAATAAGTTATGTCAAACAAAAGTTGGACAGTCTTGATATTACAAAAGCAACTGGTTTAGATGGCATAAGTGCAAAATTCCTAAAAACAGCCTCAGGCGTCATTTGTAAACCTCTCTGTTCTGTAATAAATCTAAGTATAGAACATGGAAAATTCCCAACACAGCTTAAACAATCAAAGCCTTTAAGGTTATACCCGTCTACAAAAAAGGGTCAAAATCAGACAAAAATAACTATAGACCAATATCAATACTTCCACTTATTTCTAAAATATTCGAAAAGCATGTATCAGACCATTTGAAATGCTTTCTAGAAAATAATAATTTACTTTTCACTACACAGTCCGGTTTCAGAACAAGCCACTCCTGTGAAACAGCACTTACAAATATAGTTGATAACTGGATCAATACACTAAACAATGGCGAACTTGTTGGTACACTTTTTCTGGACCTATCTAAGGCATTTGACTTAGTAAACCATAACCTACTACTTGAAAAACTACCTTTTTATCATCTCTCTTCACAAGCTATAAATTGGATTAAATCTTATCTGTCAGAAAGGTATCAAAAAGTAAATGTTTCTGGTGTATTATCTGAACCAGCTGAAGTTGTCTCAGGTGTACCCCAAGGCTCAGTCCTTGGGCCCCTTCTATTCATTATATTCATCAATGATCTACCATTTGATATCAAACAATCAATTACTGATATGTTTGCAGATGACACTTCTCTGACAACTACTGGCAATACTTTACAAGAAGTAAACAACAACCTTCAAAAAGATCTTGATAATGTTAACACATGGTGCATGCAAAATGCAATGGTTCTGAGTGCTCAGAAATCTAAAGCTATGCATTTATCAATTTAAAGCACAAAAACAGATAATATGCAACCCCCTACTTTGTTTCTTAATAACCAAGAAATAGAATATACAAACACTGAAAAACTACTTGGAATGTATGTAGACAACAATCTTAAATGGAAAACACAGGTCCAGTCAACTATAAAAATATGCAACTCACAGCTGTATTTACTTCTTAGACTTAAACAGTATCTTAATCTTCATTCAAGAAAACTTTTTTTTAATGCATACATACTGCCTCACTTGGACTACTGCTGTACTATTTGGGGAAACTGCAATAACGAACTACTATCTGATGTCATTAAATTTCAAAAAAGGGCAGCAAGAATACTCCTTGACAAAAATTTTGATACACCATCAAGTGAATTATTCAAAGAATTAAACTGGATGTCTTTTGACCAAAGAATCATATACAAAAAGTCAATTCTTATGTATAAATCAATTAATGAACCTGACTTTCCAACATATGTGAAAAATAAATTCCAGACAGTAAACGAAAGGCACAACTTAAACCTCAGATCAGCACAAAATGCAAAGCTAATTATACCAAAACCTAAAACAGAATTCTTCAGAAAATCATTTGCATACTCTGGACCAAAAATATGGAATGACATACCAGTACATATAAGAAATTCCGATACTCTTCGGAAATTTCAATCAGCTTATATCAAATGGCAGTTTTCACCTTAAACTAGCTGTTGATTTATTCCTGTTGTATAAATTACTTATATGTATTTTTATTATTACTATATTACTATTGTTATTGTTTCTTTTACTTTTGTCCCATATTTTCCCAATAGGATAATTTATGATTCAATGATGCCAAATGATGATTTCCTACTCCAATTGAACTTGAATTTATGTATATATAATATATAGATATATTTTAATTATATTTTAAAATAACTCATGAGCCAATATGTATTAGATAATAATATCACTTAAATTATCATTTGAATTTCCATAAGTATAAATATTGTTTTAAATAGGTACTAAATATTGTTTTAAACAGGTACTATGTTAGTTTTACCTATCTGTACATATTGCTCTTTTTCTCTGTATTGTTGTACAATCATATCATTTTTTTGCTTTATCAATAATTACTTCAATTTAATTGATCTATTTTAATAATATTTGTGTATATATGTTGTGAATATGTTGTGTACATATAAACTGATTGTAATAATGTTATGCTGAGGCCCACATGGAAGATCGGGAAACTGAATGAGTAAGCCTCGTTAAATAAAGTCGTTACTTACTTACTTACTTACTTACTTACTTACTATACTGTCAGCATTGGTATATAAGCATTTTAAACCATCAATATTTTCTACACTACTGGCATGCGAGCAGTTCCCGTACAGAAGCAGTTCCCGTATTTTTCATTTAAACGCTTGATTTTTACTTGCATTCTTCAAAAATTCATTTCAAATCAAGCAGATACATAAACGAGACAAAATCTAAGTGTCAGTTTGGCAGTACGTATATAAAGTCTCATTTTAAATCACTTTCACCTATGCGTCGTCAAAACGTGACCTTATTTTCTCTGGGGGATTCCGTCCTTGTGCGCATGCGCAAAAATACTTACACATGAGGCTTGTTAAAGGGTTTTCCACCAGTACCACCCGTTTACAAATAAGTAGGCAATGTGATGTAAACTTGTTTAATTATCAGAATGTTGACCAATATTACTATATATAATAATTTTATGGCTTTGATGCGTAAAATATCATGCAAACAAGCATGCTATTGCATGTGAATGCTTTGGGGTAACGGTACCGGGTAATTGATACCCGCGTTAAGTCTACGCTCTATTTCCTGAATTACATCTATTTATCTCTTAGATAATGGTCTGTTCAACAATTGTAAATGAAAAATAGGTCCGATATAATAAAATTGTATAATCATAATGGGTTAGATTTCCATACTATTACCACTATAATATGTATCCACTTCAGAAGACAAATCTAAATCTATTTTATCATCTAATAAAATGTTTGAAGAAGTGTCATGTATTCCTACTACACTGTTAACAACAAATGATACATCATGATTAGTGCAATCAGAATGCTTCGAGATAAAGTCATTTTTACTATATACAACCTCATTACTTGAGGTACTAGAAATTTGTTTCAAAGAAGAAGAAAAATTAACATTAACAAAACTTGAACTATGTAAACACGAACTGTTTTTATTACTGTCTATGCAAATACACTCCGGCTAAGATGTTTGTAGATCCCACTCAAAAATTTGACAAATATTAGAATTGTATTAACTTACAAAGAAAATGTTCTTTAGTGTGTTTTTATCCGCAACTGGCATGATGTCAGATGTTTCATGTAAATACTTTACAACCATCGGGAAATTTTCTAACAAACAAAACGTTCAAATCATGGGCGCTGCCATTTTGAACGAACTCTAAACGTTTCATTTTAACAAGGGGTGTTCAAGACGATGTAAAATATCAATCATCTTGGAATAAAATTTCTTAGCTAAAAAAAATGGCAGTACGAAAATACGATCAATATATTTTAAAAATGAAATAATTTTTAATATTTTCCTAAACCTTACTAAAGATTGCTCTTTGCTTTTTAATTTTTTTTATCTTGACCACAATGAAATAAAATGGAATATTCCAAATTTAGACTGGTATTAAGGTCGGTCTCCGGTCTATTTACCCCCAAGACACACCAAGATATCCCAAGTCACCCCAAGACTACTCTGGGACAGAAATATACTCATTTTTAGTCCTAGGACTTCCCCAAGACACCTATATATAGTGTAAATTGGGAAAGTTTTATTATATAGAACGACTGATTATTTGGTAGCAAGACACCTCACCCCCCAGACACTTCACCCCTCAAATTTTGAAGACACTTCACCCCTTAAGACACTTCACCCCCCAAAATCAGTAAGACACTTCACCCCTCATCCAATTTTGTTCTATAAAGTAATTAAAACAAGTTGGTCAACAACAAAATGCTTATATATGTTTATATTTATTATTTTCAGTATATTTGATTAAAATTTTGCATATTACCTTATTTTTACTAAGTTTAAAGCTGATTTAGGTTAATTGGTTGTATTGCCAAATGATATATCACAGCACTTTCATCCATTAAGTGTTAATTGCATGTCACCTTGTTTATTCCACATGTTGATTAGTTGTTTATTCAACGGTTATCTCACAATTGATTAGATAATTGAATTAAAATGGTATAATTATATGAAAATTAAAGTTATTCTTAATAAATAAATTAAATAAATAAATAGATAAATAAAATGAATATAAATGAATATGAATGAATGAATCAGTTGCTTTATAAAATATAGTAAACAATTATCCTGCATTTAATACAAAGATCATTCATAATGTCATTTATTAAACAAATAAATAGCACCAGTTATGTAAATTAAGCACAAGGTTAAAGCACAAACCATCACCAAATGACCGTAACTAAATGATTATTTATGGTAAGGATCAAACTGAAATAAAACTTAATTAAGTACCCAAACTTCAAGAATTAAATCAACTCAAAATTTATTAGACAATGGCTTAAAACAATAAACATACTCAATCACTATTGAATGTATTTAACATACTCTACAAAAATAATTGTTAAACACAAAATAAACAAATGAGGGGTGAAGTGTCTCAATCAAATTTCTTAAAATGAGGGGTGAACTGTCTGAGGGGTGAAGTGTCTGCAAAAAAGGGCCTAGGGTGAAGTGTCTGGGGGGTGAAGTGTCTGTAAGCCTATTATTTACGTGTCATCTTGTTACTGTCCAATACATCAAATATTGTTAATTATGTATGGACTTTTTTCGTCACTAAAATATTTATTGATATGCTCTTAATAGAAAAAAAAATTTGATTAAAATCAACTTTAAAGAAACAAGAAAACTATGTTAATCTAATGAAATGTGGGGCTGATGAAATAAAAAGAAGTCAATATTATGAAACAGAATATGATCGGCATCAAAAATGTGTCACTGGCGCAGAATTAAACATGCACTACACCAAAACCCCGCAACCTTGGCATTATTTCATTGTACAGTAAATTATTTTGCGAAAAAAGACTATATTTATAATCTTACATTGAAAAAATACAGGGAAAAATGAAGGGAGATAAGTCAATGTGTACATGTGAAATCGCATAGTTACCTCCCGTAAACAATGTAAAATAAAGACCGTATTTACATGTCAGTATAAGTGTCTTGGGATGGTCTTGGGGTGTCTTGGCGTAGTCTTGGGATTGTCTAGGGGTGTCTTGGGGTAGTCTTGTGGTGTCTTGGGGTAGTCTTGGGTGTCTTTGGGTAGTCTTGGAGTGTCTTGGGGTAAATAGACCGACTGGGTCTTCGACGGTCCCCGGTCTCCAAAGATTAAGGTTGTAGCTCTAGGAAAATGATTTATATTAAAATTGAAACTGAAGTAATACAGTCGAACTTCGTTCGCTCGAACTCGGAGTGCCTGTGAAAATTTGTTCGATAGATCGGTAGTTCGAGCCAACCGAGGTTGAACTATTATTACGTTGATCAAATGCCTAAAGGTTTTCCTAGCTTACATCGGTCGAATGATAAATGCGTCAACATAATTGTTTGTTAGTACATCTGTTCGTCGAATATTTCACATGTTTCATATTCAGAATTATTAGCCCAGTGTTTTATAGTATCAGTACGGTGTGTTAATCCATATTCATGAATATAGTAATTGGTTGAGTTCGATTGGGCAATCACACCAATCTTGTTGAAGAATGTTCAAAATATATTTATATGTTTATAATGGGATGAATTCAATTTAAAAAAATGAATGAAATATTTATTAAAAACATTTACAGCAGCATCTATTTCTAGTCATTTACTAAAATAAACACACATACAAGTATCATTCTATAAATAGATAACACTGTTACGATTCACTATACTTGAACCACGGTTGTAATTAAAGCCGTCCGGGTAAACGTCATTCTTTATTGGCATGCCTATTTCACTTATTTCACAAGTTGTTTTCTTTTTATCGTTACCATCAACGGCAAATCAACAATATTATCATAACAAACACATCGATTACAACACCTCTTATTTTGTAGCACCTTTGTCACGATCACGAGGTGTTAAAAACATGTGTCGCCGACTGTCATTTATTTCGGACATACCGACTTGTCTTTTTGTATTCGACCGAAAAGGTGTGATTTTCACTATATTTCTGCCGAAGGGACCAGAGATCAGGTTCGAGAGTTCGAGCGATCGGTGTTCGAGCGATCCGAGGTAGAACAATATATATTATATAGGAATGTTGCCGGGACTGGGCGATGAGTTCGAGCGAAGGGAGGTATTCGAGCGATCCGAGTTCGAGCGAACGAAGTTTAACTGTATATGCCTTACTGAATTGATATGTTTAAATAGAATAACAATTAAAAGAGCATGCAATTTGATTTGATCTTACAAAATGATGGTTTTGTGTCTTATAAATTGTACATATTTGGGCAACTTGCATTTAAATCAATCACCAAAGCGCATGTGCACAGTTTTGATACAACTACAAAGACTTGCACGTTTTCAAACACCCAATCAAGTACAAATTGACTTTTTTTCTAAACAACAGTAGTATTGGAAGTATGACCCAAGATCACCATTCCCTTTGTCTTTTTAATTTTTTTTTATTTGAAGAAATAAATTTACTTTTAATATGATGAATCAAGAGTTTATAACTGTTCATATACATGTACATATTACAAATAAAAACAATTTCACAAATAAATAAATATAAGCATACCTTTGTTATAGAAGATGGATTTTATATAAGATAGAACTATTACTGAAGGCGATTCATACCCCTCCCACCACCTTAACTTTTTTTAAAATTTCGTTGTCTGAAGACACATTGGAACTGGACCTTTATTCTTTGATGATTCATCTGTGTACCAAAACTATTTGCAATTAATTGCCTTGCTAAAAGAGTTAAATTATCTGCTAACCATTATCTTGGTAAAAAGAGAAGGGAGATAACAAAAGGTGTAAATATCGTGTTCTGAAGCCAATTTGAATAAAAAGGGACTGAATTAGGTCAAACTACCTATCAGAGCTATTAAGAGTTTCTTATTCACATATGCATTACAACGCAACAAAACATGCATCTCACTTTCTTCTGCACTATGGCATATTGGGCACATTCTTTCAACAGTCAACATTTCATTTCTCCCGGTTTCAAAACGTATTCGTACTTAACCACATCAAGACTTGAATAAGTGTAGGTGCAATACTAAATTTATTGAACGAGTTGAATAAGATCATATGTTATGCGTGCATCTCGCGAGCATAATATTTCTTTATTCAACGAGTTCAATAAATGTAGCATTGAATCTACACGAATATACTATTCTATTTATCACATATTCAAAAAGAGAATGGCTTACAGTTAAAACGAGTCATTTTTCATTGACGCGCCTATAGTGTTATTACAATAGTGTATTATCGTTTTTATCAAATGGCTTTATTACACACTTGCGTCGCGGTTTATGTGATAAACATGTATATGAACATGACATATTATTTAATTTTAATGAAATATGGTAATTTATTATATACTTATAAATGAAATATTGAGAAATATTGATAAAATAAAATGCGTATTTTCATTTTCCGTATTTTCACTGTAAAAATTTATTTTTCACTGCAGTGAAACATATTTTCCGTATTTTCACTGGTGTCTTGCCGGACTACTTTCTTTTAAATTCTGCCAGTAAACAAAATTTAAGGGAAAGTATTTCCAATTTTATCGCAAAAAAGAGAAAAATGTATATAATAAACAGGAAATTCAAGTTTTTTCTATAAATACATGATTTATTTTCATCTTGTGGCATCAAAATTAACATATTTCACTCGTGGCTACCGCCACTCATGAAATATTTATTTTCATACCACTCGATGAAAATAAATCATGTATTTATAGAAAAAACTTTAATATCCTCTATATATTAGTCAAATATATTTCATATTTGTTAAAAATAAATATGAAATATAAATATGAAAGTGGGCGGAGTCAAAACTCATATTTATTTTAAGGGACTTCTTTTGCCATTTTGTTGGAAAAAAATGATATATAAAAAAAACAATTTTTTGTTAAATTTTGTTTTGAAAACATTCTAGAAAGATAGAAAATGGTCTAACTAAGAAAATAAATCCGAACACCAATATCTTTAATTCAGTCATTTACGTTGTACAGACGTTTAAAGAGTTGTTTACCTGATGTCACAATGTAGCGCCAATCAGCGCATGCAAAATATATTTCTGCGCAATGTACAATTGCTGTTGCATAGCAAGCAAGGAGATTTGTCGACATTTTTCTTTGATAATGAAAATAAATAAAAAGGTTATTTTTTCGTTTTCCGTGAAATATGGTACATGTATATATATTTTCACTCAACATGATAAAATG